GTCTAACTGTGAACACGGTGCTATGGTGTTTGTAAGAGTAAAATACTGTGTTATGCATTGTTTACAACTGGTATTGCTAACAACAACTAACAACAGCTGACAACGGCTAACAACAGCTAACAACGGGTAACTGTAGGCGTCCATCTTGGTTTTCCGACTTGTTTACTGGAACACCGTTTTCTATGATTGACACTTGGTACAGCCTATGGGCGTACAAAGATTGTCATCACAGCAACTTTCTCACCAAACGCGACTGCGCAAATGCTGGTTTCAGGAAATGGAGAAAATCCCGGAAATACCAAGAATAATATGGCTTTAAATTCGTACAATGATGGGAGGCAGAGCCACGTTGTCCATACTATATACAGTCGATGTTTTCACACGTTTACCATCTTAGCAAAGAAACAAAAGCTTGTTAGCAATGCTTGAAGAAAAGCAGGACTTTAAAGAAAGGGTCGTCCTGTATTCGGGTAAATACAGCAGTTAGGCTGAGTATTCTGCAAAACCAGGAATGACAGTAAAGGAGAGGGCATGTTTCACTCTGTAAGTAACTGTTTCAAGGAGGAGGAGTCATTAAAAGTCATTAGGATCATCCAAGAGGGACCTTTAATATATTCCTGATATAATGAAAAACATCGTCGATAGCTGTCTGCTGAATTCCTAAAGTCAACCTGTAACTGTTGAAATGTTTCAGGACTAAAAGCTGCAGACTGACTGACATTATCGTCCCTGGAGCTACGCTGCAAAAATGACTAAAACTGACACAAGTATGTGTCTTTGAAGTAAATGATGTTGTTTTAAAGCTTTCATGGAGGTTAAACTGTACTTGGAGATAGTGGAGCTTCAGGCTTTTTTCACAGGAGACATTGATGAATGTTTGACAGGGTGAATTTTTCCATGTGGAGGGCTTTAAAACGAACACCTGCTCGCCACGTAGACAAAAATGCAACTTATTACTTCTAGTGTTGAATAATGAATAATGAGTAATGAGAAATCTGCAGCAGGGGGATTTATTTGTTACGTAACATGGAAGTGTTTGAATTCATGGGATATTTGAGTTTCATCATCCGTGAGCTAATATTGGACACCGGGGCTCAAACTGTAAAAGGGTTCCTGTAACTTTGTGTATAATTCTTCGCATTCTGTACATTCCCTCCAAAAGTGCAAACAAGTGATGGATGACAGGCCCCCCGCTCTTTGATTTTAAATCCTGGTAAAGTGAAATGAAGCTGGGGAACAGCGGGGGGAATAACTGCAGAGAGGACTCATCCTCACATTCATGTCTGTCAGCAGAACATTTTTGTTTTTTACGTATCTCAGGGATATTCCTGTTATGCTCTCAGTGCTTGTAGGAGGCAGCCGCTGGGTTTGGCTGAGAGCAGGATTAGAGACAGACAGAGTGCTGAGAGATACCTGCATACAATCCCATAATCAGCTCTCTGGAAAGTGTGTCATCCCAGCGCGCCCAGATGCGATGACAAATCAAATTCAACCAGACAAGTCATCAGTCTGACTTTCTCCCACGAAGCAGACAACAAAAACGACAACATAACACCCACCAACTTCCTTGACAGGTTTCTTGTAGTGCTTAGTCATGCAGCTGACTCCTGCCGACCTTTTTTTAGCCAAATCTTTGGGTTTGTCTCAGCCACTCACAGTAAATAATCCCCTCTGGTTGCACAGCTGCAGGGTTTCGTGAGATGTTTTGGCACAGCTGGGAGTGTTAGTTGGAAAACAGGGCGTGCGGTAGCGTCGGGTGTTGGTCGAACGTCAGAAGTGGAGGCCAGTCGGCCCCGCCCAGACGGTCCTCGCGTACAGTCCTATTGTTCGGCTCCTGAGCTGAAGAATTCCTGTGGAGTCGAGGAGATTCCTCGCTGTGTAATGGGGTATTATGTTAGTGCAGGCTCTATTCAATAGACTAATGAGTTATGCCAGAGGCTAATGTCTCAGGGGTGTTCCGTTCTTAGAGCCGCATAGTTTCGAGGGTAAGTGCCATTGTGTTGGCTACCGGGCCCGTCTGCATGCTGTTAACCTCTTCAGTGTGCAGGTACAGGGAGACATCTCTTTTTAAGCAATGCTCCTGCAGGACTGACAGCTCAATAAAGCTGCTGCTGCTGCTGCTGCCTCATGACGCAGAGGGCAAGCGATTGTGTCCGAGATAAGCCTGAAATAGCCGAGTCACAGAAGCAAACATGCAGCAGTCTGTTTGATAAAGGCAATCTGATAACAAGCCGTGGAGTCAGTGTGTTAAAGAGGGCCAAAGTGATATGGACAGTAATAGAGTCAGTGGGGAAACCATAATGAGACATTTCTATTTCAGCATTTTCTTTTTTTTTTTTTGCCTTTTATTGATAGTACAGGGTGAAATGTGGGAAGATAGAGAGATAGAGAGAGTGGGGAGGACTTGCAGCACATGGTCAGGGCTGGACTTGAACCCATGTCCACTGCGGGGACCGTGATGCTAACCTGCTCAGCCATCTGTGCGCCCTGAGACATGTCATATTTTACAACTTTACACTCAAACTTTGTTAAATGCAAACTCAGACGTACTTTGATTTGAAAACTTTAGTAAGAATACAAACATATAAGATTGATTTTTACACATGCAAGTAGCAGTTTGCACGTCTTCAAACCTAAATTGTTGGAGTATTTTGATATTTATGTGCAAACCCAATCCCAAAATAGCTAGGATGCTGCATAAATGTTGATAAAAACAGATTTTAATCATTTAAATCAGATTTTGAGGAACAAATCGAATACTGAAAGTACAAATCTGACCATTTAAAGCTGTAACAGAGACAACAAAACACTAAAAGCTTATGTTACGTTAATCTAAATCAGGTTAGTAATATGACTAAATATGAAAAAAGGCGCTTTATAGAGGTGAGTCTCTCTAAAGCGGAGATAGGAAGATGTTCACGACTTTGTGAGAGACTGCGTGAGTTCAACAACAACTTACAGATGAATGTTCCTCTGCGAAAAATTGCGAAGAATTTAGGGATTTCATCATCCGCAGCAGGTAATAACATTAAAAGATTTAGAGATCATACAAAAAATTATGTTCAAAATGGAAAAAGACAGGAAATTTAGTCCTTTTTTCTGATGGTAAATTGTTGGATGATTGAGTACCAGCCTTTCAAAATGAGCTGAAATCTTCTCGATCTAAATGACTTTAATCATCACAAACCTGGAGGAAACATGTATGTGCAGAAACTTGATAACTTTAAGCGACTTTAACTGTAAAACTTCATTATACGTGTTCAGCCTCTCAGGTTATGTAACCTGTTGTGACCAAATAAGTCCCAGCATTGAATAACATTCAGGTTTCTTGAAGCCTTGAAAACATTTCCTCTCAAACCCCCTGGAGAGTACAGTATCAGCAGATCTACCTCTCATAACCAGAGGTTTATTTGGCATTTAGACCAGCGCACACTATACCTGCATCATTTGATTAAATCCAGATCCAAGGTTTCTTTTGTGTCATCGAGAACTTTCCCCCCTCATTGTCCTCTCACTGTCTCCTGCAGCAGACGACTCTTCAAACTGTTTTACAAACAAAAAGTAGGTCTGTCAGGAAAGCATGACATCAGGATTATTATGATTGGACTCTGCATGCAGGAGGACACAACGGATTCTCTCAATCCAGCATGGATCTGTTTGCTAAATCGTCCGCACAGATAAGACTTTTCAGACAATTTGTAGTGGATTGTTCTCCGCTGCCAGCTCGACGAGTGATGGGAGCGTTTTAGGCGCACCGGTGTTTGAACCGAGCCCAAGAACAATTTGTATGACATTCATCCTGAGTGCAACGAATGAAGCTGGAGCAAATCTGACAGATTGAAGCAACGCTCTCACACTGCTCGAATCTTAATGTAAAGGATTAGAAAAAAAGCATAAAACAGAATAAATAAAACAGAGAATTCTGCTTTGATCACAAATCAATATAGGGCTTATTAGGGAGAGAAATGGGTTTGTGGTTCAGTGAAAACCAAGTTTGGATTGAAGCTGAGTGTTTACAAGCTAATTTCCTGAGAAGAGTCAATACTGCAGGATGAAATTTGAAAAAGCCCTGTAGTTACTTCCTTTTGGACGAGTCTAGAGGTGATATAAGGGTTTCTTTAGGCAAATGAGTCTGATGAGTGATTCACTGAAATGAAAAGGTGATTTATGAGCAGAGATGAAAGTGAAGAGGAAGAGAGCTGAAGGGAAATAAAAGGATAGCAGCTGTAAATAACGACTCTGATCCCTAATATTTCCTTTTTTTAGGTATTTTTTGGGCAATTTTTACTTTTTATTGATAGGGTGAGTGGGGGAGGACACGCAGCACATGGTGGACCGCTGTGAGGACGCACTAACCCACTCAACCATCTGCAGCTCCCCTGATCCCTGATATTTCTAATAAGTGAACACTGACTCGGGTTTAGTTGAGACAGAGTCGAGTCACTCGTCTGCAAAGTTAGAAAAACTCCTGAAGATGGTTTTATCTAGAGCTATTTTAAAACAGAGTAGTCATTACAGACCTGTAGCAAAACAACATGAAGGAAGTGTTTGAAACCAGATCTGTTAAGAGGAAGTTTAAATCCACGCAGAAATTGCTGCTTATTCTTGGGTTTGGCTCCGGATGAAAGGGAAGAGCCGGCGGAGTATTTATTGCTCTTTGCCTCGTTGTCTTCCACATCAACACTTTCTTGTTATCACATCTGAGGCTGTCTCTCTCTCTCTCTCTCTGTCTCTCTCTTTATCCGTGTGTGTCTCTCACACTCTGTTTACCAAGTTTCTCTTTCACTTCTGCCGTCTGTATTTCTATACCAACTTAAATCCCTCTCCTGCTGAATCCAGACTCTTTTTGTTACACCTGCTCAAAGTGGATTTTGATGTTTTTGCCTGTCAGCTCTTGTACATTCTGACTTATTCCTCATTTTCAGTCCTGTTTGATACATTTCTTTAGTTGGATTGACTGCATTCCAGACTTTTCCACACATTTAACATGAAGACGTTGATCAGTTGTTTTAAATAAGAGTAACATTTATTCAAATGCGCCAAATTTTGGCACTTTGGCGATGAAACATTTCATAGAAACGACATGTGACAGACCAATATGGCCGCTGTATTACAAAAAGAATAAATAATAACAATATAGATTACTTATTAAATGGAAATTTAAATTATTATGAATGAAAATAAATCTTTAAAAACATCCACATGTAAGACTCCCAGCAGTGATTTTACTGCAAAGCTACAATGATGAACAGGAGACCGCCTGTTGAGTAAAATCCATAAAGTAGTTTCAGTCAGTGAGAAGCTGTCATATAAGGCACTTAAACTCTTTATGTCGGTTTAACTTTACATTAGAATAGTGAGTTTATTAAATAAAACAAGCCCTACTGCCTTCACCCACACATAGCAGTGATTTTTATGATCTGTAACGGAGGCATTTGTCCTGAATCCTTCCTTTAAAGTCAAGTTCTTTGAAATGCTGTTTGGTGCAGTCCAAAAGAGGAGCAGAGTCTGACCCTGACTCTTCCAGGATCCGTCACTGTCCTTGAATTTTGCAGACAGGGGGGCCAAGTCTCCTCTCAGTCCTCTGTCCGCTCTCAGCTTATATCCCTTCACCTGCGGACGCCCTGTGTTGTCTTTGACCTCAATCTTCTGAAGTCCAGGTGTGAACACACTCTCTGTTCCCCGCTCTGCTCTGCTGCGGACACTTTCTGACCCAGCAGCCACCACGCCAACATGGAGAGCGTCTCCAGAGAAAGGCCCGTGGTTATACAACTCTTTCTCCCTCTGTATGACAACCTGCAGAGGTTATCCGTCATCTTTAGGAGGCCCCACTCACGCCCCACTGTGTTCTCATCCTGTGGTTCTGTCTCCTCACCCTCAGGCGGATTTTCAGGGCGTCCCTGATGGCTGCAGGGGACACGAGTTTCTTGCTGCTGCTCTTTATACTGTAGACCAAAAACAGAAAAAGCAGTCAGACATCTGCACCTCCAATATCTCAAATCATGTAAAAAGTAAACCTGTATCTGGGTGGATCTTGAGCTGTCAGTCACCCATATTTATACTGCGAAATACGCCAAGAATCATGCAGAAGTTTGTGTTTTTCTATTATTAATATGTCAGACATTTGGCGCCACAGACTCTGAGTTTGAAACATGATGGTACATGTGCAGATGGATCTCTATTAGCAGCATAACTCTCACAGATAAGTGGTGAAAGTGATGCAGCAAATTGGAAGTAAATTCCTCACAGTCTTATCTAACACTTATATGGATTTATAATGTGCTCAGTCATCATCATTTTTAGGGAATTCCTTGCTTGGGGGTTAATCTCTAAATTCTTTCCTCTCAGACACGTGCTGAGTGTTTTTATCTCTCAGGCTCACCCACTTTAACTCAGGAGAATAACATGTTCCCTGAGATATTCCGCTCCACAAAAGAGCTCAGTGTTGCGTGAGGATATAATTGCCGTGTACACTTAGTTTGCAAATAGACTCTCGGTTATTCAGCCTCCTACGGTTTGTCTTACCTTCTAATCCCGCTCGTGTCGGCTGCCAGCTTGTGTTTGCACTGCGTCTCGGCGCAACCATCGCCCTCGGCGGAGCGGATCACCGTTCCTGGCTGCGTCCCATACCTGTGAGCGAAAGGCGCACAGACAAACACACGGTGAGAGCGGGCTCACGTTTCAATTATTCACACCACAGTTTCGACACATTCAGGACCATTTAAACGTGTCCTCACATGTCATGGAAACAATCACAAAAATGATAGACTCGGGCGATTTAGTGCCTCTTTACGGTAAATATGATCGATTTTGTTGTTGTTGCTTGTACTCGAGATGTTTTCACAGATGAGATGAAATCTTAAGTACACACCTTGGTTGTTTTTCCGTCTGGCAGAAGTCGCTGCATGTCGGGTCGTTTGCTCTCACACACTTGCAGCGAGGTTTGCTGGTGGTTGCCATGGAGTCCGCGAACGCGCGCTTAGTCCTGGGAGCGCTGCCCAATCCGTAGGAGACCACGCGCCTGAAACGACGAGGAGTCAATCAAACAACTGATAGACCTCAGAGTGTCTCATATGAGATTACAGCTGATTTTACAGTACGTTTCATGCTAATGGTGGCTTACTCAGGTGTGTTGACCCATATGATGTCCAGGTGGCAGAAGTAGACGCACTCCTTATCCAGGAAAGTGGCGCAGGAGCAGCGCTTGGTCCGCACATGGCGCCCCTGGGTGGTGGTGGAGTCAGTGGGTGTCTCTCCAGTCGGTGCTGATAAAACTGTAATTGAATCAAAGTGATTAAAACACATGCGTAAAAGCCGTTTACCTGAGCGTCACTTTTACGCACAACTGCAGTTTTTGCGCAGATCTTCTAACTTTTAAATTGAGTAAATAAGTTGTGCAAAAGTTACTTATATTGCTTGCATAGACTAAGTGTTCATGCACATTCTTTAAAAGCTAAAAAAGTCGTTTTATTCTCGTGGAAAATGGAAATTACCTGTGCAAAGAAACCAGGAGTACATCACTGATAACACGGAAATAAAAACGTGCATATCCATTCCCAGACTCTTCTTAATCAAAATAGTGTGAAGAAAATTAGTAATCCTCCAAAAGTGTGAAATTAATCATCCAGTGTATCACTCCCTCGTAAGGTGTCCTCTGAGATTGACGCAGGAGGAGCGCACAGGCGTCAGTGTGGAGTCTCTGTCTGTGTCTGTCAGTGTGGCCCCACATGTGCAGCCCTTTGACTTTATACAGGAGCGTCCCACTTCCCCTCCTCCTCCTCCTCCTCCTCCTCCTCCCGCTGTGCAGCACAGTTTAGTCCTTTGGCTCGTACCCAGACATTGATGTTTGTTAGTATTCAGTCTCTGATAAGGCGCCATGCAGGCCAAGTTGAGGACTTTGAGATGCCTGAGAGTTGGGTTAGAGGATTGGGGGGGGGGGGGGGGTCTGTGCTGTACTCTTATGGAATCCAGGGATGAGCTGCAGTTGCACGGTTGAGACAGCAGGTGGCAGTCAAGCTACAGGATTATATTGTTAGATTTATGGTGAGTATTGCATACTGATCGTTTTTTAAATTGACATGTACCAGTGTAGCGTGTATAGTCTTTGAGGTAGGAGTAGCAGAGGTAAGTTAACTCTGAACCGATCTAATTACAAAGTGCTTTATTAAAGAGTGTATGATAATAATAATAATGCATCAGATTTGTTTAGCGCTTTATTAGAGACCCTCAAAGCATACATTCATACACCAGTTGAGGACACACACTGGGAGCAAGGTGGGTTAGGTGTCTTGCCCAAGGACACAATGGACAGATGGGAATCGAACCGCCAACCTTCCAGTTATTAAACAACCTCACTACCTCCTGAGCTACTGCCACCCTGTATATATAGTGTATCACTGTAGTCTCTGAGGTAATCTTGTATCTTGATTCTGTTCTCTTACATTATCCCTTTGCAATAAATTTAACATCCAAGCTCGGGCTGTGCGATACGGGAAAAAGTTTATCATGATATATATTTTTTTTTTTTCATATCAGTCAACATCGATATCACGATATAAAAATGAAATCTAATAGTACTTATTGGTGGCATGTCTTTTGCAATACAATAAGCTACTTCATCTATGATGTCTTTGTGTCTCTTCAACTTTTTGTTGTAAGGTGTTGCACTAGAGAAAGCGAACTGAATGGTCGGCTGTTTTCGGTGTTAAAGTTCTATGGTTGCGTGTAGCTGCAGCCTGCTACTACGCAGTTGTTTGCTATTTGGTTCTAATTCAGCACATGATTGGTTCAGTGTGAAACTCCCCTTCTTATTGGTTATCCTTATAGTCTACCAAAACATGGCAGAATGCCGACTATCGAAAAGCATATTGACCATGTTTTATATTGATATCGAGGGAAATTCATTTTACATATACATCATTATCATTTTATCGCCCAGCCCTAATACAAACGTTCTTGAATGTTTTAGTCCATGAAGGCTCCCATAGTTGCGATTTAGAATAATATTACTGCGCACAAATATACAGAAACTATAAGACATCATTTTTAATGCCTCAAAGGGGCAAATAGGCTTTTTTGGTTTGATTAAATGCTTTGTTTGAATTAAAAACATAATTATATATATATAAAAAACCTGATTATGACTTTTAATAATAATAATACTTATCTCAGCACTATCAAAATTTTCAAGGCCTGTTATCTGTCATTTTTCAAACCATATCATACCATTTAATAGTTGCCAACTTTAGTCTACTCTCATAACAAGTTTAAAAAGTTACTTAAGTACAAAAAGGTTTAAATCTTACACTTTTAACCACCAACAACAGTGATTATCCAGGTAGACTGAGGCGTACTTCATTTCCCTAGATCACACATTTGGAGTCGCTTTGCCGTGGGCGGCAGTGGAAAATGGACTTTGTTGTTGTGTGTGTTGGTGCGCACGCACGCACGCACGCACACACACACACACACACGCTCAGAGTGGAAAAGTGGTGGGTAAAGTATCCTGACTTGCTGCTGCTCCGAGGCCCCTAATCAGAGTCCGGTGTGCAGAGTTTCCACTTGGTCGGGGTACAGCTTGTACTTAAAGCAGAAGGAGCTGATTTGTCGTTTGTTCATTCAAGAGAAAAGAGTAGAAGAGGTTTAGATGTATTCATATGAGGTCAGTCAGGAGAAGCGTGCAGCTGTTGTGTTGTTATATTGTATGACAGCCAAGTTCATCAGCGTGTCTTTTTGTATGTCTCAGCACTATCTGATGATAACCTCTAGGGGTCTCTGTTTGCTTTGTTATATTTCCCCGTAGGTTTTCTCCTCCACTGTAAAAAGAAGGGGGTGGATGATTCGGTCTGTACTGTAGATGGATGAGTCACCCTCTGAACGAGGAGGAACACTGAGGTTATCACGGTAAAGCCTCTTGAGATAAAAGAGAAGCCTCCCTCTTTGAGGCGAGATATTTTTATTTCTGGTGCCTTTGAGAGCTTTTTAACAAGACTCTGTTACCCAAGACCTAAAATAAATCTGAAATAATTTATTTATCGTGTGCAGGTCGATTGGTTGGACACTAGTGCTTTCCTGTTATGAGTCATAGTGATTATAAAAGTGTCAACGGTTTGTCAAGAGTGTATGACTTTTACTGCAGTTTCTCACCTGTTGGATGTGAAGAAAGGGAGGATTGCTTTGCTGAATATTTACTGTCAGTATCTCTGGTTTGCAAACACACATTGTCCAGTTCAGTTACCTAAATTATGCAGCTGACAATTTGACATTTTGCACTTTTTGTAAATATATGACACTTACAGAGTAACAGCTTTTGATCATTTTTCATGTATGTACTTTTTTCTAATTTATTATTGGTGCATGAACTCCTAATAGTCTCTAAAAAAATCCCACAGTCATGTCAGCTGTCTAAATTTGTCTATCCACCACCAAAGATATTCCAGTTTCCAAATTGGGCTTCTTCTCATGTACAATGCTACTTCTGATATAAACACCTACAGTGCTCAGAATAAATGAGTACACCCCTACAGAGTTGTCAGAAAACCTTTAGTTTCCTTTCAAAATCAACATTTTCTATGTTAAGCTATACAATAAAATACTCCCCTAAATGTAGACTATTGATTGCAAACAAGATTTTTTAAGTTGCATACAAAAAATATTTGTTCAATTTAAAATCAGGATACAAAAATGAGTACAACCAAATCAAAGTTCTGGGCGCAAAGCTTAAATTTAGTTACCATAGCACCTTTATTTTCATTTTATGGTAAATAAAATGTCATGTTAAACTCAGCTTTGTCAAAATTTAGAAATTGTACTTTTGCTCATCTAGATTCTGAGTAATACATCACTTTTAATGGGGGATGTTCTGACTTATGCTGGGCACTGTATATATACTGTAACGCATCAATCTTCCAGACTAGAGTCCACTTGTAAATATTAGGTTTCTAGTAAATCACCGACCCAAAAAAGAAACCCTTTACACCACTCTTACGTTTGTAAACAAATTTTTACTGATACAGTTAAGAATATTGATACAGCAATGTAAAGCTACCATAATGCACATACCTATGGACTTATGAATCAGAATGGGCACTAGATGGATTATAATAAATAGTTGAACACAACATCTGTACACAGAAACATTGCCCCATAATCCATAGAAATGTACATATACCAGTACAACATTTATAATTCCATAAATTTACGAATGACAAATCCAAAATAAGGTTGATATCCTCCATTGTTAGGCCTCTTTTTACTTCTCTTTTTTGAAATAAACACAAGCAACTACTGAACTTTGAAGGAAATATGTACAGGTTCCTAAACAAGAAACTTCATAAAGGCACAATCGTCTATACAACATGTACAAAAAAAAAGGAAAAGAAATTGTCTGGAGCTGACAATAAAGGTAAAAATAAAATAATTGGTCATCGTTATAATCGTCATATGATTGCACGTACAATATGTCAGCATCTGTGCTTTGAAAGGTGATTTGTAAAGACACAAACCCCTGAAAAGTTTTTTCAGTCTTACAAAGTGACGAGAATTACAAAAAGAGAACAAGAAAAACTTTCCACATGGGGGTTTTCAGGTGGCAATGACCAGTCTGTCTTCATCATCACTGGACACCTCGTTATAGTCATCGTTAACTTTCTGCCAGCTGGTCATCGGCTGTGGTCGCTGATGTGGAGGATCAAGAGCTGCTTCCACTGGTGACTCCTTAGCAGCAACTTCTTGGCTCTCAGGAGCTGGTGATGGATGTTTCAGAGGGGATTTACCCCTTTCTCTTTCTGCAGTCTGTGTGAACTGTGCTCCGCCGTTACCTGCCGCGCACGCCCTGCTGCCTGAGGTTGGTTCCGGTGAGCTGCTGACCTTTGAAGGGGTGGGTGGTGAGGCAGGCGTGCAGCTCTGTGAAGAACCGAGCCCTTGTTCGCTTTGGGATGGCTGTGCTCCTGCAGCTTCAGGGCTACCCTGCCGCTCCGAGGACCCGGGGAGAGGACTCAAAGTGGAGAGAGGGCTGAGAGAAGGAATGATGGCAGGCAGAGCGATGTTTAGTATCTGCAGACCCGGGACATGCGTCTGAGGGCCGGTGCTGCTTTGCGAAGTTGGATTGGCAGCCAGAACCTGAAGCCCAAGGGTGGCGTTGAGGGTTAACCCTTGCTGAGGGAGCAGCTGCGTGGATGCAAGGCCTGTGTTGGTAAGCCCCATGAGGTTAAGTGTCTCCAAACCTACTGGTTGTATTGTTTGAGCCTGCAGGCCAGTGACCTGCCCTAAAGGAAAGCAGGGTACCATACTACTGAGAGGTTCTTGGACCACGAGGGGCTGGGTTTGCAATCCCTCTGGTTGGGGTGACATGTTGGGAGCCGGTAAGGGGCTTGTGTTTCTGTGGATGACACTCACTGCCGGGATGGTGAGTTGGACGGGGCCGGCTTGTATTGGTACAAAGGTGGAGTAAGCTGCCAGGCCAGCGGGCACCAGCTGGATCCCCCCGACTGGGACCATGCTGTAAGAAGAGCGAGAAGGCTGCTGGGAGTGCAAGGGCAGGTGACTGAACAGGTGGGTCTGCGCTCCTTGTGTTTGGGAAAGACCTTGTGGGGGGAAGTGCAGGGGACCTTGAGAGGCAAAAGAGGAGGTCTGAGTCCCCCGGTCTACTGGTACTCCTGTTTCACTGGCAGTCACAGCAGGCGGAGAAGAGGAGATGTCCTGCGAAAAGACAGAAACAAACTCTTCAGTGTCATTCCTTGACCTAAATGTAAGATAATTCTTGAAGATGTGATGAGCTTTAGATAAAATGTTTTGTTTTTTTAATAATCCAGCTAGCTCAATTCAGAAGCATTCACCTTTTTGTAAAGCATTCACAGGAGCTTTGTGGATGTGCCTCGCATGCAGGATTCTATGTATGGATATGGACAGGAAAGAAGGGAGGCAGGCAGGGAGGAGTGAATAGCGACACAATGAGAATACACGGGTCTCACCTGGCCTAGCTTGGAGCCCTTGCTTGGCACTGGGGGACTAGAGGGGACATCAAAGTCAGGGTAGTCGATGGACATCTGCCTGCAAGGTGACACTGGGCTCATCATGTGCACTGACTCTGAGTCTGAGGTGTAGGACTCGGATGTAGCGGCAACAGGTGGAGGAGAGTAAGGGAGGGGCATTTGGCTGTAACAAGATGCAGAGATGGATATCTGCTTGCTCAGGGACACGGGGCTCATCATGGGAACGGACTCTGACTCTGATGTGTGGGATTCAGGAACTGGAGGCTGGGAGTGAGATAGGGAGACTGAGCTGATAGACATCTGGGCTAGGAGGGCACTGGGAGGGACTTCGGCCTCCTTGCAAGGGATATGCTGCGGGCTGGCAGAGACTGAAGGGTTCGTCGACAGGCCGGACTCTGCCTGGCTGTCCTCTTCCTCCTCCTCGTTGTCATCGTTCTCCTCATCGTCAGGGCCATCGGAGTCATCTCCATCTGAATCTTGACGGTCAGCACTGCTCACCTGACTGCGGTCTCCTGTTGAAGAGAGAAATGTAAGAGGCAGGTCTATTTCTATTTCTAGTAACCCCTGGAACATATGAGTCATCCGAGCTGAAATAAAAATAGATTCTCCCTTTGGTAGTACGGAACATTCATTCATTAAATATCCTCTGTTATCCCACAGTGAGAGAATTCACAGCCAAGGATGCAATTCAGTGACGTTCTTTGTTGCTGCTGCATCGTTTCACACCCCACGCCACCGTACACCCCTGAGCTCCATCACAAGCAGAGGAGGTAAAACAAATATGCTGTTCGAGACTGGGACCAAAGAATGCTTTCAGGCAGCTTCGCTCTCTTTTTTTTTTTTTTTTTTTCTAAAATTAGATGCAGCAATTTCCTCTTTCTAAACGCTGTGCATGCCGCCCACTCAGCTTTGAGTTAACAGAGGAAGAAGCTGCATTTAGAATTTCTAATTAGACCGTGGCAAAGCTATTGATCGACATAGCAACAGAGCCCAAGCTGGAACAAACGGGGTCTTATATCTCAGGCCACTAACAGAACTATTTAAAGATTTGCAATCTTGTTTAAAACCAAAGCAAATGAGTTAAACAAGACCTATATTTGTCAAGGCACTACTGCGCTTAAAACAGAGTACTGTCAACAGACCTCTGAATTTCCACAGAAAACATTTATTCAGTTTGATAAGCTCTGACTTCACTGCACACAAAGATTCCTCCGTTAAAGCTGCTCAGTGAAGCACTGTACCTGAGTCTTCCGCATCCTGATCCTCAATGAGACCTTCAGGAACTCCCATCTCCATGCATTTCTTACTGTGAGCCTTCGATTTCATGTGCTTTGTCAGATTCCCTGTTAGGAGAAACGCAAAAAAAGGTCTTTTAGGTGGGTAGACTTTTGAACAATAGCGCAGGAGTTTATGTAAGACAATGCGGTCTTTGGGCAAGCTGTACGTAAAGGGTGAGTAACTGATGAAGACATTTTTAAATGAACGTGGGTTGCTCTGACACCAAGTACTGTTCTGCAGTGTGGTGTGGGTAGGCGAGTTCGATAAAGAATGGTGAATCATACTGTCTTGGTTTAAGACATGGTGGAAAAAAAAAAAACATCTTTAATTTCATAGCGCTCAAGGAACGGAGAAGGGTACTGCAGTAATCCCAGGCTGCTTGGAACAGTACAGTTTGTAATGTACATGTTGTGTTCAGCTGCATTTACAATCAGCTTGTGTAGGTTTATTTTTTAAAGAGTTACTTTAACTAAAGCTACATAAAGTATGTGAGTACATATGTATTTAGCCACGTAGAGCAATTTACAGTAGACTAAAGAGAGTTTTTTGGATAACTAACATCTGTTTTATTAAACTATTAATGCAGTATTGATAAAACTGTACTTCCAAACAGTGTTGATATACTGACCTTTTGTCTTGAAGGAGAAGTTACAGTGGACACAGTGGTACGGCCGGACATCTGAGTGGGTCCTGATGTGTTTGCGCAGCATGCTGGGTTTCTTGCAGCGGATCCCACATTCCTCACAGATGTATTTACCACGTCCACGTCCACGAACATAAACATACTCCTCATTAGATTTATATCTGTGGGTTTGCAGAGAAAGCCATGAGGGATGCATAATACAAAGGGGGGCAAACACGTAATAAACAAATTAAAAACAAGATTGGAAAAAATGAAAGAAGAAATAACTTTGAATCGTACCCGCCATCGAATATTTTGACCCGTCTTGGTTCGGTTTTCGATACCAAATCTGACTCGATGCTGGCCTGAGTTTCTGGTGGCACTTTGTTTCTGGTTTCAACTGACACAGACTTCTGAGATATTGGCACCTGTTGGGAAAAAAAAGTAATGAATGAATGAATGAAGATTACTTCAGGCCAGTGTTTCCTGACAGCATTTTTTGTGCAGAAAGCCCCTAATTTCTTTACAAAACCAATGCAAGTCAGTGTTTTCAGCGCTCAATGGCCTAAATGCAAAAATACCCTTACTGTAGCTGTTTCTTGTTGCTGCACTCTGAAGGCTTTCGGTTGAAAATAGTTTGAACTTTTGAAACAGAACTGTGCCTGATCTTAAATCAATTACAGGCAGAACTTCAAGAATCAGTCTGTTTGTTTTTTTAAACCACGGGGTGATGAAACTACGTGCAGTTTGTTTCACACACCCCGATTTGTTTTTCTCAAAGGTACCATGCAGAGAGATGTTTCATTTCCATTTGCTTTGTGAAATGTTCAACAAGAAAAGAAAATATTGAGCAAACAGAGCAGTTAGAAACCCTTCTGAGGAAAGCAGAAGTGCTCTGACACAATATTTGTAAACATTTAAGAGTTAGCACCAGTGAGAAACAGCACAAAAAACACCATTAGTGGACACAGGCCCTTACTGAATTGAATTAAGAAATCTAGATTTTTAAAGAAACTTCAAAACTAAACAAAGTGCTTACCCTTGGCATCACATCTTTAAGCTTCCCCGAATAGGACAAGATATCCGACTTCTCGCTTGTCTTTATGGCCGATGTGTAGTGTATTTTCTTAGAGCTCTGTTTGGAGTCAAAAAGAGACATGACCACCTTAGTGGGCAATCCAAGTGGGTTGGGGTTGTTGGGGCTAACTGCCCAAGCGGCATACGCTGAAGTCTTCAGGTCATTCTGTTGAACATGAATAGGTTTCCTCTTCATTAAGAAACACCATGTGAAAGTGGTGGCAGTTTTCAGGCTTGGGAAAGAGAGGCGATGACTGTCCTTTGTGTTCACCACAGACACAGATGTTGTCAGTTTCACCTGACCACTATGGAAACTTGAGGGCCTGATAGGAGATTTGGCAGGGGACCATCTCTGTTCCTCAACTTTTTCTTGTGGTTTCAGAGAACTACCAGCTGGCATAGCGGTGGCCTGGCTACACGGTGTAGTTTTAGGGGCAAGTCTTATTTCCTCATGAATTACAGTGCTTGTGTTTTTCTCCAGTCCAGTACTGTCAGGTGACATAGGTTTAACATCATCAGTATCCTCTCGCTCATTCTCTCCATCAGTTTTAACCTGCGGCAGTGGTGGGGCTTCAGTTTCTATTGGACTGTCAACCGGCTCAGTTGTGCACACCTGCCTGACTAGTGTTAGCTTCCTTTGTCGGGTGACCTCTGACATCTTGGTGTTAAGATAATTCACAGATCTCCCATCAGTTAAACAAGCCACACCATGCTCATCTTTGGCTCGCTTTTGGTGCTTTTCCATGTAGATGTCCAGACTGTTGGCAGGTGACAGCATTCTTTTACTTGAGGCCGTGGGCTCCTGCTGTGGGCATAGAGTTACTGAGGCCAGTTTCTGTGTGCAATGTAGTGACCCGAGAGAGGGCGCTCGCTCCTCTGAACTGGTATGAGTGCTGACTTTTGGAGTTCTATCCATCTTTGGGGTGGGTACAGCTCGAGTATCGCTATCTACACTGTGAGTGGATGGAAGGTTGTCTTTACTGGATGCAGAGGGAGCAGGGTGAATTTGATCATGAGTGATGAGGATTTGTGGCAATGGTATAGCACCAGCTTGTGTCTGATCAAATAGGTCCCTTTGCTGATCACCTGACACAACAACAGCATGTGTCTTAATGTCAGAGGCTTGTTGATTTTGTTGAGCAACATAGACGTTTTTCAGAACATCTGAAGACTTCGAAATACTCAAAACTGGGTTGGCAATAGGTATCGTCAAAACTGGCAGGGCAATCTGAGTTGCCTGTGTGTTGGCAAATGTAAATGTTTGGCTTGCTCTCAGAGCGGGAGATGTTAGCTGGTATTTGGGCACAAAACTTTGCTTTTCCTCAGAGTCAGCTGGTTTGTTTTGGATATTCTGGCGACAAACTAAGATCTGATTAAGCGGTTGTTGTACCTTTTGGCATATTTGAACCCTTGAAGTTTGATGCCAAGGGTGTGGAAGGCCATGGACTTGGGGCTGCTGAGTTGGGCTACCTAAATGAATGCTTTGCACAATTTGCTCATTCTTTTGCAAAGGTGGGTCTCCAGTTTGTAGAATAAAAGGCTGAGCCATGGTTTGCCTGTTGGCAATGTGAATCTGCTGACATCTACTTTGAGTTAAAGAGCTAACATTTGCAATGGAAGGTTTATCTAAAGGTATGACAGCTTTCCGAACAGGTTGCTGACTTTCTGGGCCGATCTTTAAAGACATTTGTCGAACTAATGGCCCCCGCCTCCTTTCAATAAGCGGTACCTGGGCAGCTTGTCCACCTTTTGGATGGCCAACAGGTGACAAAGATCTGCTTGGAGACACATTGCCACAGTCAAAGGACTTGCTACGATAGTCACAAGAAATCTCAACAGATGGTTGAGTGCAGGTGATCTGCTCAGATGCAGCACGCCTCATAATTCCAGGAACACCAAGTGTGTTGAAAGCCGTTGGCAAACATTGAGGCTCTTGAACTTTATTGACACACTCCCCTCTGGAAGGACTCTCTGCTCTAGACGGTTCTTCTCTATCAAAAGATGCCGAGACACTTGAACACCGAGAGAGACTACTGTCCCTGCTTAGGCTTCTTGAGAGGCTGGACTCAAAACTAGATTCACCAGAGGAGTGGTCCATTTGAGCCAGGCGAATTCTTTTCTTTTTGGGCGGAAGTTTCTCTGCAGGTAACTTTGATAAGCTCTCACTCCTCTGAGGCCAGTTGAACTGATCTGTGGGCTTGTCTACTGGCTCTGAGGTCTGTGTTTCGTGTTCTCTGTCAGGCTCCTCTGTGACCAGAATCTCTGGGACTTGGATGTTATTTTGACGAACCAGGCGAGAATGATGGACAGGAGTAGAGTTTTCACCGACAGCTGCTACTGTTCCATCAGAGCATTGTTCCTTTTTTTGTTTTTCATATTCAGCACTCTTGGGTTTGGCTATATTTTCATGAAAGCTGTCAGTGGTGACATTTGCTTTTGCATCGCTTTTGAGCTTGTTGAGGGGATCCTTCTCCATACCATCAACAGGAGAGGCCCTGTCAATCGATTCTGTCTCAAATGAGTTGGGTCTGCTGAGAGAGTTGGTGTGTCTAATGACTGAAGTGCCACTGCCTTGCCTTTGCAGTTCTCCCTTCGTAGAAGTGCTTATCTGGGTCTCTCGTATTGGTGACAATCTGGAATCTGAAGTATTAAGACCTCTTGCTACAAGTTGAATCTGAGGTAGCTTTGACTGGTTGTTTTTAGGCTGTATGTCCACTATTACATTATGCTGAGAGAAAGTCTGACTTGCAAGTACAGATGGTAGCTCAAAGCTTACAGAGCAAGGTGGAATGGTGTCAGTAGGAGATTGGTCATCCTCATCTCCAACACTTTTCATTTTCCTTCTTTTTCTAATTGATGTCTGCTGATCAAAAGTTCCCGGGCCACTTGTTGATCGAGGAACCATGGGCTGCAGTATGTTGACGTGAAAAACATCTTGATCAGTTTCTTTTACGTTGACTGGTTTGTTTTTTGGACCATGAAGCTCGGAGCAATAGAATTTCTTGTGAGTTTCAAAATTTTCCAACTTTCTGTACCGGTTACGACATGTTTCACACTCATACATCGTACCTTTATTCTGTTGTGGCTTTCGGTTTCTGTCCTGACTGTGTTCAAAGGATCTACTTCTTTGCATCTGCTCTGTGGAACTGCTCGGACCATGATAGCCCTCATCCATGGAGCGAACAGTATGAAGGCTGTGGCCCTCATTCGCAGAAGAGTCCTCCACTGCAGCTTGTCTGACTAAGGTACGGGAATGTATTGCTGGATTGGGGGTTGACGGCGCTGATGAAAATACATCGTCATTCAATGAACTAATTTTTTCATCAAATGACTGACAAATTCGCAAAGGATGGGGAAGTGGAGGGACATTGAGAGGAAGAGCTGAGTGTCCTGGCGTGGTAGGCATTGAATTACTCCGTGTGATTGGCAGACATTCCATCGGTGGATATTGGGAAGGTACAGAAAGAAGAAATACTGGCTTTGATTTATCTGTGGGAGTGAATGGAGACTTAGGGATGTCCGAGCTGGAACTTGACCTTCTTCCAATTGGTTTTAGATCAAACTGAAAAGAGTCTTTGAATATATATGACTTGGGGGAATCTATGCTCCCTCTCCTTGACAGCGAAGTCCTCCTTGGCTTCACACTGTCCAGCTGCTTATTATCAACCACTGCCTCATTATCAGATATCAACTTTGAAATCCGTTCTTCCAAAGAGAGTGCTTTGGCTTCTAATGGTGGACGCATCTGCCCCTCTGTGGCCCTGGTCTTTTGCTCAGCTACTACGTGCATTACTGTTCCAACCATAGGAGGGATGTTAGGAGGATTGTTTTTGGCAATGTCAATATCTATGGGAGGGGTTATCTTAACAAATGGACTGGGTGGACTCATTGCCTGGTCAGCGCTTTCAGATCGCGAGAAGTATCCGGAATCTGTGCTTCCTAAACTTCGGGGACTAAGCAGACACTTCATCTGTTGCTGCTGGGAGAAGTCTGTCGCTTGTTGCCTCTGAAGCTGAGCATGTCCACCTAACATTGGAGACTTGCACTGTGGGTCTTCGTCCTCACTCACAGTATCTAGGGAGGCATTTGTACCATCCACTTCTTTGAGAGATGACAGGACTGTGATGCTGGATCTCAAGTTCGCAGTCTGAAACTCTCTTTGACGTTGTGCAGCGGCTTGCTCAGGTGCTGTACCTGTAACTCTTGGACTATCTGCCCTCATAGGTGAGACATTAACAGGGTACACAACAACTTTTGGTAGTGCAGCTGTCACTTTGGGCTCATGAGCTCTCTGACCAGGGGTGAGTTTGTTTGACTCAAACACAGCCAATGAGTCAGTTTCCCCATGGCTTACTTGGGCTGTACCTGCGCTCTGTAAACTATTTTCAGACAAAGCTGCCACACTGCTCTGTGATGAGTCAGGGTCCAAATCTGCTGTGCTACTTTCCTCATCACTCTCCCCACTCTCCTCTGCCTCTGAATGTGTACCAAGAGCTTTGTCAGATTCTTGAGATAGCGATCCACCTCCAGATTCAGATCGTGCAATTAAACCAAGTTTTATAGCATGAGCATGTGATTTCTTGTGCTTGTACAAGTTACTCTTTGTTTTGAAAGAAAAGCCACAGGTAACACAGGGGTATGGTCTTTCTCCTGTGTGAGACCTTATGTGTTTAAGCAGCACACTGGGTTTTGCACATGCTCGGCTGCAATATTCACAAACATACTTTCCTGGCTTCTTAGGCTTTTGGTCTTTGTAAACCTGTTCAGCGCCAAAGTTCATTACTGTAGTCATTTGGACTTGGTTGCTGCCCGGTGTAACTGGGACCTGAATGGTACTTGGAACACTTGCTGAGAGCGACTGGCATGTGTGCACAACTGGTGGTTGGCTTTGTGGCAAGGCATTGGGGCCTGAAGGAACAGGTGCATGAGTTATGGTGGATGGTCCAGTAGCAAAGCTCATGTGTAAGCTAGGTTTTTCAGAATTTGACGCAACAGGCATAAAATGAGGTGAAGCAAGCTGAGAGGACTGCATGGGGGTACCCTGTGTAGACGTCTGCACATTTCCTTGTAGTGGTGCAGCAATGCCAATAACGTTGCCTTGTTTGTCAATGTAATAAGTCTGCATATGGGGTGGTTGGGTCCGGAGACCAACATTAACAGCTGGCATTGTTGTTAATTCACCACTAGATTGAGCATCAAGGGTGGAGGCTGGTTTTCCAATGGCATGCAAGGAGTTTTTCCTCTCAGCCAGCGTACTGAAGTCAGGCTCCATGGCCTTAAGTAGAACATCAAGTGGAGCACTGCTGTGGTAAGGATCTCCCTCCAAGCTGGGGCTCTTGCCGTCTTTGAGCTGAGACTCTATAGCAGCGTTTAAAGAGCCCTCCCGACCATCAGGGGGATCAAGTGATGGCAGTCCAGAAGATGTTTCTTCCTGCTTCAGCTTTTCAGTGTTGGTGGAAAATGACCCCTTGCAAGGGGATGCTGCAACTGGTTGGACATATTGTGGATCTCCTTTCCCACTTGGTGATGTTGGAGGATTGTGGGCGGGACTGTTGGAAGAAGGACAACAAGGAGGTGCAGTTTCCCCGGGTGGTGCCCTGAGGGGCTCAGCTTCAGATGTTTTCGACTGCAGAGGCTTTTTCACTGGAGATTTTGGAATTTTCTGCAGCCGATTCTCTGCAACAATTTTTTTCCTCTTCAGGCCTTTGATATTATCTGCATTCCTCCTTTCACCTTCAGATGTCCCTATGGAGAGAGAAACACACAAAAACAAGGTTAGTTCAGCATCCTGGTGGCTTAGTATTATTTCATTTGAGCAATTGTTGGTTATTCCTGGATGACATGAGAACCAAATACTTTCGTTAATCTTTCGAAGTTTGTAATTGTATAGTATGTTGAAATTTATAGGATACTATGCTAAAATTGTCAAAGTATAGTACATTAAAAATGTCATATTAAAGCATGAAAAATATCAGATTGTAGTAATGAAAAAATATATATAATAAGGTAGTATGTTTAAAAAATCATAAATAACATTGAAAAAAAAATAATAGTAATGTATGATTAAAATAGGATTGGTATGGTATGAGAAAAATATTATAGTATAGTATGATAAGAAGATCACAGTATTGTATAGTAAAAGGTCATAGTACAGTATGATAAAAAAAATAGATGAAAAACTCAATGGTAAGATAAAAATATGATAGTAAGGAATGATAAAAATGTCATAGTATAGTACGATAAAAAATTCAAATTTTATATTGAAAAAAATGTCAGAATTGTATGGTAAAAATGTCATTGTGTAATGTATGATATAAAGTTCAAATTTTAGAATGAAATAAATGTCAAAGTATAGTATGATAAAAATGTCATAGTCTGGTATGATAAAAAAAAAATTACATTTTACCACGAAAAAATGTCATGGCATAGTATATTAAAAATGTCATAGTATAGTATGATAGAAATTTCGATTTTTGGAATGAGAAGAAATATAGTATAGAATGTTAAAAAATGTCATAGTATAGTATGATAAAAATGTCATAGTAAAGTATGATAAAGATTTTAAATTTTACTATGAAAAAATGTCATAGTATAGTATATTAAAAAATGTCATAGTATAGTATGATAGAAATTTCAATTTTTGGAACGAGAAAAATATCATAGTATAGAATGTTAAACAAATGTCATAGAATAGTATGATAAAAATGTCTTACTATACTATGATAGAAATGTCATAGTATAGGATACTTAAGATTTAAAATTTTGGTATGAAAAGAATGTCGTAGTATCATTTGTTAAAAAAATTAAGTATAGTGTGATAAAAATTTCAGATGTTAGTATAAAAAATGTGATATTACAGTACCATAAAAATTTCACAGTATGGTACGATGAAAAAAGGCACTGTGTGGAAGATAAAAATATCATAGTACAGTATGTTAAAAAAATGTCATAGTACAGTATGATAGAAATTTAGAGTTTTGGTATGCAAAAATATCATAGTATAGTATGTTAAAAAGTGTCATAGTATAGTAAGATAAAAATGTCATAGTATAGTATGTTAAAAAAATGTCATAGTATAGTGCGTTAAAACTATCATGGTATAAAATGTCACAGTATAATGTGATAGAAAATTTTATTTTTCATTATACAATAGTGTCATAATACAGCATAAAAAAAAAATCATAGAACAGTATGATAACCATCTCATATTATAGTACGGGAAAACAGCTGGACTCATCCATGGGAGAGTTGAAGAACAAGGAACCAGCCTACATGCGAAGAACCCGGAGACTCTGTTTCACATTCTTAACTCATTGTATACAATAAATAAAGCTTCAACTGAGAACTTGTCTGAATTCTTGTCTTCTCTTCCTTCCATCAACAACCACAGGGGAAAAGGTAAGAGGTAATTAAGGAATTGGAGTCATAGACTTTATACCAGTTAGCACCTTCTTTATTTTATTTTGGAAATTAGACCAAAATATTTCCTTTAAGGTGAAAAGGAAAACCAACCATTTTCAACAGATGTCATAGAATAGTATAATAAAAATGTCACAGTATAGTGTGAAAAAAGGTAAATTATAGTATGAAAAAAGGCATAGTATAGTATGTTAAAAATTCGTAGTTAAAAATGATAGAAGGATCAAATTGTAGTATGATGAAAATGTCATGGCATTGTATAATAAAAATGAAGCACAGTAGTTGAACATTTCAAATTTTAATTAAAAAAACATTGTATAGCATGTTCAAAAATGTCATAGTGTAGTATGATAACAATTTCAAGTTTTGAAATGAAAGAAATCATAGTATAGTATTAAAAAATGTCATAGAGTACTATGTTAAAAAAGACAAAGCATTGTTTGTTATAAGTGGTTATGATATCGTATGTTGAAAATTTTTCAATGTTCTAATGAAAAAAAGGTCAAAGTATAGTATGGTAAAAAATGTCATACTATAGTATGATAAAATGTTTAAAATATAGTATGACAAAATTGTCATAGTATAGCATGATAAAAAAAAAAGTCATAGTCTGGCATGATATAAATTTTAAATTTGAATACCAAAAAATGTCAGAGTGTAGTATTTTTTTTTTTTAAAAGTCATAGTATAGTATGATAGAAATTTCAATTTTTAGTACAAAAAAAAATCATAGTACAGTATGTTAAAATGTGTCAAAGTATGGTATGATAAAAATGTCAAATTATAGTATGAAAATTTTTTTAAATCTTAACATGAAAAATTCTCATAATATAGTACGGTAAAAAATGTCATAGTATAGTATGATAGAAGGTTCAAATTTTAGTATGAAAAACTGCCATAATATAGTATGATAGAAATTTGGATTTTGGTATGAAAAAAAAGCTTCATAGTATAGTTTGATAAAAATTTGAAATTTTAATATGAAAATAATGTCATAGAATAGTATGGTAAAAATGTCATAGTCTGGTATAATATAAATTTAAAATTTTAATACGAAAAAATGTCATAGTATAGTGTGTTAACACTATCATGGTATAGAATGATAAAATGTCGCAGTATAATATGATAGAAAATGTAATTTTTCGTTATACAATAGTGTCATAATACAGTATGATAAAAAAAAAAATCATAAAACAGTATGATAACAATCTCATATTATAGTACAGGTAAACAGCTGGACTCATCCATGGGAGAGTTGAAGAAGAACAAGGAACCAGCCTACATGTGAAGAACCCGGAGACTCTGTTTCACATTCTTAACTCATTGTATACAATAAATAAAGCTTCAACTTGTCTGAATTCTTGTCTTCTCTTCCTTCCATCAACAACCACAGGGGAAAAGGTAAGAGGTAATTAAGGAATTGGAGTCATAGACTTTATACCAGTTAGCACCTTCTTTATTTTATTTTGGAAATTAGACCAAAATATTTCCTTTAAGGTGAAAAGGAAAACCAACCATTTTCAACAGATGTCATAGAATAGTATAATGAAAATGTCACAGTATAGTGTGAAAAAGGTAAATTATAGTATGAAAAAAAGGCATAGTATAGTATGGTAAAAAAAAAATTCATAGTTAAGAATGATAGAAAAAAAAGTCATAGTATAGTATGAAAGAAATTTCAATTTTTGGTACAAAAAAAATGTCATAGTACAGTATGTTAAAATGTGTCAAAGTATAGTATGATAAAAATGTCAAATAATAGTATGAGAAAAATTTAAATTTTAATATGAAAAATCCTTATAGTATGGTAAAAAATGTTATAGTATAGTATGATAGAAGGTTCAAATTTTAGTATGAAAAAATGTCATAGTATAGTATGCTTAAAAAATGTCATAGTAAAGTATGATAGAAATTTGGATTTGGTATGAAAAAAATATTATGGCATAGTATGTTAAAAAGTTTCATAGTATGTATGATTAAAATGTCATAGTATAGTATGATAAAAATTTTAATATGAAAAAAATGTCATAGAATAGTATGGTAAAAAATGTCATAGTACAGTATGATAGAAGGTTCAAATTTTAGTATGAAAAAAAAAGTCATAGTATAGTATGATAAAAAAATGTCATAGTCTGGTATGATATAAATTTTAATACAAAAAAATGTCCTAGTATAGTATTTAAAAAAAGTCATAGATTATAAAAAATGTCATAGATTATAAAAAATGTCATAGTATTGTATGATAAAAATGTCATACACTAGTATGATAAAAATTTCAAAATGAAAAAAATGTCAAAGTAAAGTATGTTAATAAAATGTCATATTATAGTATGAGAAAATTATTAAATTTAACTGTAAGAAATATCATACTATAGTTTGTCAGAAGATGTCATAGTGTAGTTTGTCAAAAATATTATAGTATGGTAATAAAATTTCATAGTATCTGATAATAAAAAAGGTCATTGTATGGAAGATAAAAATTTCATAGTAAAGGGGAGTTCAAACTTTAATTTGAAAAAAATGTCATAGTATAGCATGTTAAATAATGTCATAGTATAAAATGATAAAAAAATCCAAATTTTAATATAAGAAAAATGTCATAGCATAGTATGTTAAAAAAGTTATAGTATAGTATGATAAAAAATGTCATAGTATAGTAAGATAGAAAGTTCAAATTTTAGTAGGAAAATAATGTTTCAAATTAAAGAATGACAAAAATTTCAAATTTTAATTAAAAAAAATGTTATATTATAGCATGTTTAAAAAAAGTCATAATAAAGTATAATAAAAATTTTAAAGTTAAAAAAGAATAAAATGTCCTAGTATAGTTTGTTGAAATATGTCATAGTATAGCATGAAAAAAATCTAATTTTAATATAAAAAATGTCATAGCATAGTTTGTTAAAAAAAAAGTCATAGTATAGTATTTTTTAAATTTTAATTTTTTATGAAATATGTCATAGAATAGTGTTTGGAAAAAAAAGGTTATAGTATAGTATGTTTAAAAATTTCATAGTATAGTATGATAAAAATATCAAATTTTAAAATGAAAAAATGTCATTGTATAGTATGTTAAAAAGGTTTATACTATAGTAAAATAATTTTTTTACATTTAGTTAAAAAATGTCATAGTATAGTATTTTGGAAAAAAAAGGTCCTATAAAAAAGGTCACATATCAAAATATCATAGAATGGAATAGAATCATAATATAGTATGTCTAAAAAAAGTGATAATATAGTATGTACAGTAAGTTGCAATTTCCAGAACTGCATAATAGAAATTACAAATTTCAGCTTAAAAAAAGTCATAGTATAGTATGTTAGAAAATGTCAAAGGAAAGTATGATGAAAATTTCAATCTGAATTATGAAAAAAAGTCAAATATAGTTTGTTAAATGTCAAAGTATTGTTTAAAATTTCAAATTTTAATATGAAAAAAAATGTCATAGTAAAGTATGTTAAAAAAATGTCATAGTATAGTATGATAAAAATGTCATTGTATGGTATGACAAAAAGGTCACTGTATTGTATGATAAAATATCTTAGTAAAGTATGATAAAAGTATCACAGTTAATAATGATAAAATGTGATACTATAGTCTGATAGATAATGTCAAAGTATAGTGTGTTAAAAAATTATGGTTAAGTATAATAAAATGTCATATTATAGTATTTTAAAAATATCATAGTAAATGATGATAAAAATATATCAAAAAAAAGGAAAAAAAAAAACAACTCATAAGTATGATCATTGATGTTACATAAAACATACTATTAGGTCATTATCAAAGAATGGTTACTTACATTTTCTTAATTCTAACACTTAAATACCTTTCCTCTCAGTTGAATCAGTTTGATTGTCTCTATTTGCTGACACTGAGTGGAGATGTTTCCCATAATATAGACACGTCACCCTTACTTTTATCTGTCTTCTGTGTGACTAACACCGAAGAGGCCCACGCTTCATTACATAAAGCAGTGATCCTTTTTCCCTTTTTTCTGTTTGCAGTATCGGTTTTATAAAGGTTGGGCCGATCAGAAAAGTTACACACAGGTCAATGATGAGAAACTACATTCCAGTTCTGAATCAAAACTGTTTCACCGAGGCACACCCTTACAGTGTTTGCCCCATATTTGTTTAGTTGGCTCTTCTGTTGTGATTGAGCCAAGTGTTTTTAAGGACATGTTGCATAAGGTTACCAGTGCCCTGTCACAGTTTCCTGGCTTATGTAGGTATTTCCCAAGATGAGGTCAGGGTTCCTTCAAGGACTCAGGCATAATTAGATTGAGGAGGGCCTCTTCTTTTCAAAACTTAATCCATTCACTACACAAACATGCAAGGAATATTTAAAGCAACAAACAAGCGAGCAATGTTGTACTCTCTCAAAGCAAACCCTGTTATTTATTTAAACTTCAATCTGGATGACTTCTTGATTAGAACAAATAAACAGGGAGCTCAGGTTTGGCCTGCTCTGTGCACCCCTCATACAGAGGTTATCAAAGCAGGCTGCCCGGTCTCATCTAACCTGTGAAGTCTTCAGTTACCTACACTGTCCACAGTCTTGTCCTCTTATTCGAGGCATTAAAGCCCAAAAATTAAGTTAAAAAAAACGAAATAATTGTGTAAAGTGCAGTGGAAAGACATGGAAAAGGATTAGTTCTTCCTACCCACTTCTTAAACAAGTGTGCCAAAGAGATTCCATGACTTCACCAGAGCTTTTCTGCTGTGAAAAAAAACCTCTTTCACAACATTTGTCCCTTTTTGTCTTAAGCTTTAACACCGAGCTGCAAATGTAATCGCTCGGTTTGAAAAAGAAAGATTTATGTCAGGATTAGCAGCGATATTATGGACATGTTTGTTTCATCAGATGCCGTTCCATCAGATTTTTCTCATGAAGAAAATACTGTGGTTTAATGGAAAGTGTGAAAGGGCCGGTTAAGACTCAGTGTCTGTAAACGACCGTTCTCAGTGAGATTAACCTTTGACTGGCCAGCACTACAGGACGTCAGAACCTGCTGTACTGTGAGAGGGAGATTGAGATATTCTTAAGTGTACTCAATCTGTTTAGCGTCTACACCCATTCTCGAGTACAGTGGATGATTCAATCAAAGCCTGCACGTCCTGCAAGTAAGCTGGGTGTTTTTAAAAAGACAATGTCGCAGTGATGAGTAAGCTTATGTTAAACAAAGACTATGAAGACGCTTCAGCTCGATAAAACCGGCCTCTCTGTGCGAGTGTGTGCTTACATAAGAAGCCACCTCAAAACAGAAAGTGCATGTTATTGCTAAAGCTTCACTTAATGCTCACCTATAGGAATTACACACACTTATGCATTCATTTTGAGTGTGCATGCCTTTTTGTGAACCTCAGTGTTAAGTTGTAGTACACTGCAGATGCACAAAAGCACATTCATGGTCGAGGATATTAAAGACAAAGTTTGTTCCAACTAAGTATTGACTCACTGATGCAGGAGCCAAATATGACTTTTATACTGCGAGGAATTTTACTGATGCAGAAACGATATGCGCTGCAAAAATCCAGATGTTACACAACAGCTGGGTCTGCCATTGTTACTCCTAGAAACCAAATATTATTAACTTCCCTCATATATCAGGTACATTATCAGACACACGATTAAACGATACAGAGATGTTTGATATTTCCCACATGACGGAGCTTGAAAGCTTTGTCAATTTTTAATAAATCAGTTTTATACTTTTTAAAGTCCCAGGTGGTGGATATAAAAAAAAGGTTTAGAAATAATAATAATCAAAGTTCTCCACTCTTACCTTTCTGTGAGCCTTTGGGGTCTTTTAGTTCTTTCTGTGCTTCTTCGATTTTATCTGCAAGACAAGAGGAGAAACCATCATCAGCACGGAGAGCGGTGCTGCACAGAGGCACGCAGACTCTTGCTCCACAGTGTAGCCAGTGCAGAATGTAACTAATGATACTGGGGATGCTTCCCACACGGCTGCAGCAGGATGAAGGTCTTTCAAATGAAAAACAGATATTCTTCCATAGCTGAGAGAGCGCGCGCTATTCCATTATGGAAACTACTTTAATCACGGAGGGGGCAAGCCTGAGTGCACACACGGTAACACGAGCGTGCGAGCGCACCCACTTAAAGAAGGAACAGCGAGTGGATGAGTGTTTGTGCAGGTTAAAGTTTGCAAACAAGTCAATATGGTGGGTTCATTCTCATTATCACCGAGTGAGCGCCAACCCCCAGAACAATCTGCATATTCAAATAATGTTTACACCCCTCTGGGAAGGACAAATTAATTCCACTTGGGTCGTCTATACGTCACAATCATTACCCACAATCCCACAGGTGGAGAACCTGTTCCTGTTTGAGACCATATGGACGTGTGGGAGGCGATGGAGCGCTCGCTGTGCGTTACTGTAATCATTATTAATTATATACGCTCGCTTAATGTGGCGTAAATGTGTTAAACACCGAGGAATAACAGAAGACGAGGGAGATCTTCTCAAACTTTAAAATGCGTTTGTGTAAACATGATAGTTTCTCTGCAAACTCCAGACGAGCCAGTTTGTTTTTCTTGTTACATTGAGGAAATCTGGCGCACCATCAGCTGCTTTCTCTCTCTCTGCGCTTTCCCATTATGTGGAACATATTCTGATGTATTCTGCCAAGCTCGCTGCAATACAGCTTTGTTTACTGTAAACTTAAGTCATCTGTTAGTTCGGCTCGCAGTAAACAGCAAGGTGTTCCTCGAGCTGAAACAATGAGTCTGTAGAGGCAGAAAATAAGAGCGCTAGTAGGTAGTGTAGCGTGTTTCTTCCTCCCATGACCGAGGAGGATGGAGACGAGATGGAAAAAAATCACCCCTCTGAGGCTTCTGTGCCCTGAGCATGACATTAAAGTGCAGTAAGAGTCCTCGAGGACCAGCGGTTACAATTCTGTCCTAGATTGCACAAATGTTAATGGAGGGTGAAAGAGGATGTTCTTCTGTGGTTCCCAAAATCACAGAGCGATGCCGGGAATAACCAGAGGAGGGGGGTTGGACACGGGCGGGCCACAGAAGAGGTCAGTAGATTATGTCATCCTGTGAATGTGTGTGTGTGTGTTACTGTGGGCACACCCTTCCTCATCTCCCTCCCTCTCTCCCTCTCTCTCTCTCTCTCTCTTTCTCTGTTTCTGTGTATATCCCCGGCACACGCCACAGATTACATAATGCGTCCCCACCCCTGTGCTGCCGTGAAGCAAAACAAAGGCACCCTGCCAGCAGAAACACAGCAACCGAGGCTCATGAGGAGCGGGCACGCTGTTTGTTTGTGTGTGTGTGTGTGTGTGTCTCTGAGAGAAAGGTAGACAGAGAGGAGGGAGAGGTGTGTGTGTGTGTGTGTGTGTGTGTGTGCGTGTCTGGTCTATTTACATAAATATGAGCATGTGAACGCCCTCGTCCTCCTACCAAAAAATCAGGTAGGCTGTGTTTTCCTGGCACTGCTGCGGTGTTTCTCCAAACTGAGAGGATGCTGAAGCTTCCCTCACGGCAACCACGGCTCAACTTTGCAGCTTCCTCTGTTTTCGCACGCCAATTTGACATATTAAGAGCTTCTTCTTGTGGTCAGAAGACCGAGGTAGATATCTGCAGGCATTGTTTGCACAGCCTGCTACATATGTCTTATATTAGACCGCACTGGAAAACCGAAGCATTGGTGATTACTGCCCAACAAAAATCTTATTAGTGGTTCTGTATGGTCGTGTAAGCCGCTATAGATCAGATTGCACTTGTTACATAACAAGCCACAAACAAGACCCCTCATGCTGAGCGACACCCATGATGAAGTAAAGCTCCCAAGCACGGAAAAGAGGAGGAAACGCCAGCCCAAATGAGTGGAAAAGGACAAAGCAGCATTACTGCAAAATAACAAAAAAGAGAAAAAATTCCGTCCTCGATGCCCGAGTCATTAAGACAGCAGGGAATGATTAGAAGCCGCTTCATATTCCCCTCATTACAGCTGCTGGGGTTGCTGAGGTGGTCCTGGTGAAGGCTGCACATTTCATCGGTAATCTGTGTAATTGTCCTTTAACCACTAGAAAACAGTCCAAGGCATGTACACAAATGTGCTGAAAAAACAGCCCGTAATGAAACATGACCACAAAAATTAGAGGGCAGGGAGGAAGGAAAAACTCTGTTTGAGGGCAGTAAACACAACTAAACTATTTACAAGTGCGGTCTTCGACAAAACAGAGGAAAAAAAAAATTACATAATTTGCTGAGTGCACACACACACACACACACACACACTCACACACACACTCCTACTGAATATTCCTCCACTGCAAGACAAGTCACACTGTAATTCCTTTTGCCAGAGTTAAAGCTCCCACGACCAATAAATGACATGAAAAATTAGTCCGAATCAGCGAAACACACTGAAGCACTCGCCTGAGGGGCTTTTGTTTGCTTAAGCAGGCTTCATGGTAAGCAAAAAGCATCTGAATTATAGGCCTGTCTTCAATAATTCAGCTGAATGTGAGTCAGGACACTCCACTGATGCAACTTAAACACGCGGTTGAGATACCGCCTCTTACTCAGATCATGTCAGACATTGATCTGCAGCTGTTAAAGATGACAGGCAGCTAAAATGAGCCGTTCTACCCTTCATCCTCTTCTTCTTCATCATGTAGCAGACCTCCCTGATAACTCTTACTAACGCTGCTCCTGATCCAGGTCTCCCCTCAAGTGTCAAGGTGTCTGACTCGTGATCTTTGATCCATGCAACGTGATATCCAAGGATCAGGCGGGGTGGGAGGGGCCGGAGTGGGTGGGTGCATGACAATTAGGCAGGAGTTTGTGGGCGAGGGAGTGAGTCTCTCTCCTCGCTGTCATGACAACCACGAACCTTTAATGCTACCCTCCCCTCGCCGATGCATCTTTCAGCCCACTCCCCTCTCTCTCTGCGCTGTTGAGGATCAGGAGATAATGTGATTATTTGTGTCCAGAGGGAACCGAAGTGACGTCACCGCTCAGGAAACGTGCCTGCTTTCGAATCCTCGCACCCACCTGACGTGGATTTATAACAGCCTGCGTTATCTGGGGGGTTTCTAAGCGAGAGGGTTGGCACTTAATCAACTCTGCTGAGGTGTCTGACAGATAATTACAGATATAAACACGCTCAGAGAATTTACTAAACCTTATTTGTGTGAAATTAGATCCCAGGAAGCATTGAAAAAGCATTAATTTTGATTTCATACGTGTCTTGATGAGGCGTTTTTATTTAATTAGAAATCCTGCTAATCAGAGTGGAGATAAACCTGAATGCACAGCCCATGAAAAAGCTCATTTTCGTGGATTTCTCATTAATATCTCGTGTTGACATGATAAATTACCTATCCTCAGAGAAGAAACGAATAATATTTCAACTCATGAAAGTATGCACCAAAGCTTTGCTGTAACTTAAAATAAAACAAATATCTCCTCTGGTAACCCAAACTGCTGCTCAGATACCATCTTTTCCTGCACGTCCAACTAAAAGCTCGTCTGAACTCTAACCCCCAATTTCCAACGCATCCAGAACAGCTACAAAGAGGTCGTATCCGCCGATGACTCTGTGGCTGTCTTTATAGAGACAACTCGTCATCACACGTGAATCCGCGGGTTCTTGTGAGTTCTTGCGATTCCCGCTGTCAAAAATCCGCCACAAATTTCGTCTCAAAATGGATCAGGTAGGAATTGGTGGACAGCAAAAATCACTGCTGTTCCGGATCGGAGCCATTCTGGATGTGGTGGAAATTGGGGGTAATAGTTAGGGCCCCATACCAACTCATTGGCCACCAAAAAACGCAACCAACATACAACAACAATGAGGGTGTGACTCACTTATAAATACCTCCAAGTGACAAAAAATGATTCAATCAAACAAAACTGACACTGAAAAAACTTCAAAAAGGCCACATTTGATATTAAAAATCAATACGAGGAGGAATAAATATCCAAATAGTTTAGTTTTCTCTCATCTTGGACGTTTTCTCACACCAACAATGAACAGTATGTGATCAGAATATCAGAAAACTCGACATGAGAAACATTTGAAATAAAAAAAAAAACACTGAAACAATCTTTCTTTGATTTTAATCGTGAGGAAACATAAATAATGAGTCCAGATTGTTAGAAAGAATGTAGGGCTGGGACGACATGCTTTTCTCCTGATTCGATTCTTCTACGATCTTTAGGATGCTAATTCGATTTCAATTGCGATTCTAGAATATTGTCAATTTTCTTGATTTTTAGTCTAGATTTTTAACATCAGTGAAACAGTTGAATGATTATGACTGTCCACTGACTATTCCAGGAACCATATTTCCCCAAAAAATACACGTCACATGCAAGTCAGTTTTTAAGATTTGTTCTTACATCTGAAAAAAAAAAAAAAAAAGACAACATAAAAATGGATTTAAAAATGAAAAAAAAAAAATTGCGATACTCAAGTGAATCTATTTTTTCTCCCACCCCTAAAAGAAACAAAGATATTAAGATGAGGCGCTAGTTGGCGTTGTGGTTTAAGGGTGCGCCGCATGTACAGAGGCTATGGTTGCAGAAGTGAAGTTCCAGCTCCACCTCTCTGCTGTTGTCTTTTCTCGTATTTCCTGTCTTTGTCCTGTCAGTATAAATAAAAAAAATCCCGCAAAATGCACAAAATAAAGAAAAATAACAAAATAAATGAAAGTATTTTAGGCCCTTTGATTTCTCACCTCTCTTCCTCCACATAGCAACCATCACAACACAACCATGACCTCCGTTCACCTCTCGTATTTCACCTATCACACATCTTTCATGTGTTTTTGTCAAATCGGGTCTTAAATAGTCTGATTTGTTAAAAAAGGAAGCGTGGTCTCCCACTGCGAGCATCCTCTTCCTGTGTACCAACAAAAACCCACAGAGCTCAACACCCCCTCCTCCTCTCACTGCCAGCTCGAGACACATTCATATTTTGCTCAACAGCCTGCCCTGCTGGGCCTCAACATGCCAAACAGCGGCCGTCAAACAGCAAAGTGGCAGCTTTTCATGGAGTCCATATGCACGGCGGTCAGACGGCCCCGACGGCCCCGACGGCCCCGACGGCCCCGACGGCGTTGGCTCTTGCTTTTTCCCCCGCTAGCATAAAAGATATATATGTCCGAGAGGGTAGGGAGGACGGGCTGTTTTTGCTAAAACAGCATCTGTGAGGGTTGAGGTGTCATCAGTATGCGTGACAGTATGCCAGTGTACCAGCAACGAGGCTGAACAATGCCAGCGGAGGACAGCGCGTGGGCAGAGGGGCGTCTAACAGCGATGATGCGGCCGATCGGTGAGCGGGGAGGCAGTTTAGCTCGCTAAATTTAATGTGTTTGGACAGATAGCGTTGTAAGTGGTCGAGGTTGAACTCGTTCCCCCGTTAGAGCCGAGCTGTGATGAATGCGGTTGATGTAACAGTTGGATATGCGAAGCGAGGAGCAGCCAGGAGGATTGAGGTTTGATGTTTTGGACGATAGCGAGTTCGCCAGCTGGATGTGGACGGCACGGCCAAGCAAAGCGAAGCCGACGCCGCGTTTTTCGAGAGGAAAGAAAAGGAAGAAGAGGAGAAGAGGAAAGACGAGATGCCTCAGCGGGCTGGAGATGATGAGATGGGAGTCGGCAGCTGCCCCCTTCTTCCCTGTCACTGTGCGGGAGGGAGATCGAGATTATGTAACTCGAGCACCTCCACCAGCCTGCTGTACACACCCGGCTGCGTGATAACACACACACACACACACACACATCAAACACACCCTCGCACTGGCTGATGCATTCTTAGAACAATGACTAACAAGGACATTTTTCAGTAAACAAAACCGACACGACGGAAAACTAAAGTGGATAAGTCAATTGTTAAAAGTCATTCTCAAACCACAACAGAGCTAATTTATTTGTTCCAGCGCCGAGATTAAAAGGATTTGTTGCTTTTCTTTGTCCTGTGAGGAAGAGACGGAAAATCTTTGAGTTTCAGTCGGTCACACTCACATGATGATGACGACTGGGGGAGAGATATTTGAGCCCTGCTGTAATAAAAACACACAGAGCCTGTCAATCAAAACTGAAAAGAGTCATTTTTCCTGCAAAAACCGGTACTCGCTGGTCCTCAGATAGTGAGTAAGGTCTAATTTGATTTTTTTTTAACTACAACTAAATTAAGAAGCCGTCTAAGTGTCGTGTGAACTTCTCAAAACTCAAACCAGCAGATTGATGAATGTAAAAATAGAAGTTAAACAGCCCAAAATTAGACCGTTTCCAGTATTCAGAGACAGAAGAGGCAGATTTTTGGAGAACTGAAAACAACTTAGGAGATGAAAACGTTGGTTTACTCATCGGTTACATAATCGATGGAAAGTTATCAGCAGCAACTTTGAAGTTTAATCTTATAAAAAAGTTATTTTCAAAGCGACAAAAGCCAAAAATCTGCTCGTTCGAAGAAGCTTTACTCTACTTCTTACTTCATGATAGAAATTTATATCACAAATGAATCAAAGCTCAGAATCATTCTCTAAATAAACATCCAGCTGTGACAGTAACTATTAATAAACAAAAGACGTCTCCTCCAATCACTGCGACAACAACAACAACAGCTCGCCGTTTGCAGATTTCCCCGTCATTTCTAAGGGAAGTCTGTCGATCTGATCTCAGCTCTTTCTTCGCGTTTCTGCAGCCCTCAGCAGCTGACCCGCACAATAAGTGACCATAAGAGCTTCTGTCAGCATCTGACACATTCTTTATCTTCTCGGACACACCCGGACAAAGAGACTCCAGACGGCCTCCGGGGAGATGAACCGGTCTGAAAGCAGAGCCCAGACCCATAAAGAGGGCGAGTGTTACAGGAAGTATGGTGTAGTAATCGCAGACGAGTCGATGATGCGGAGCAGAGGAATCCCCTCGACATACCGAGAGTGTCCCATTACCCCGCAGTCCATCATCATCATCATCATCATCAGCTGGCCTGGAGGAGGGAGTGCAAAGTGACTCTGCTCTCTCGGTGTATGTTAGTCTGAGTGAGAGTGGGATCTCTATCGGATCTAATCAAGGACAAAGATCGAGACGATGACCGAAAGATAAAACCTGGAGACCTGGGGATGAGCAGACAGAACTGGAATGAACTTACAACCAGTTTAAACACTAATACTCATGAATGAGGATGTGAGAAATGAATAAAACTGAAATATGTTCACAGCAGAAGTTTAATCGTCCAAAAATCAAGCAGACATAATCACCCTTTTCTTCATTGACGTCATGCTGTTTTCTTTTAAGGTTCCTGAACTATTCCTGTATAATGACCAATGTGTCAGTTCCAGTTTTTAAACCACAGGACCAAAATAATGTCACCCACACTGCTGAAAAATGACTCCAAAGCTGTGACTGTAACTGCATCGCCCTCTGACACTCCTGATACATTTGTCTATAAAGAGCTTTGAAAAATAAGTTAGGGCCTGTGTCCATTTTTACTCTGTTGTTGTTGTTGTTGCCCGTGAACTCACTTCCTGATTATTTCCCCCCTGGAGCTCACTGTTACCAGGTTACTGTGGTTGTTTCTTCCTCAAATACTGACGGCAAAGTCTGATATGAATCGCTCTTTATGCTTCTTATTTGTTTTCTATTTAAGGACATTTTACAAAGACTAACCATGAAAAAGAGTTGTGTATTAGAGAAATTTAACCCTCGAAAAGTCCTGCTCCTGCTTGATCTTGATTGGTCGGTTAGCAAGAAGTGTTATTGGGGATTGTAGTGGGGCGTCAAAGGTTGAAGAGCGCTGTGTGCAGCAATAAACAGGGTTCCTACGCAAGTATGGAAAAGTATGGGAGTAATTTGATCAATTTCCAGGTCTTAAAAATTATGGTAAATAAAAAATAAACTATGGAAAAATATTTAGGTTTCCAGACTATTACCACAGTAAAAAAAAATACTGTTTTCTAAACTAGAAAAGTAGGTATTTCCAAAGATAATTCTGAAAGGTAGGGTATGGAAATTCCAACTGTGAAGGAACCCTGCACAAAAGAAGCAAATACAAAAGACTTTGGGGACTGTTTACACCGAAATATATTTACTATAATACTGCGAACTAGTGTGTTTTGGCTAACATTATGAGCAGCTGAAACTTTTAAAACACAAAAGAACAACAAAAGTTGTTTTGGGAACTTAGGGCCTGATTTACCAAGATCCAAAATAGTGAGCGCTAAATTGCGTGCGCAAAATAAAAAAATGGACGCGCTATTAGTGGGCATGTTGCGGGTGATTTACGGGTGCAAAAGTGGTGCAGACCGCCCTCTTCAAACGAGGATTTTGCGTGCTCTATCAGCACGTGTCTTTGCACACGCAAACCTTCAGTAGATCAGGCCCTTAGTGTATTAACAACACACAGCTCTGAAATCTGTGAGGCTCTTTGTTTTTGTATGGAAAACAAGCGCTACAAATGCAGAGACCTCAGTTAGTGGACACGGGCCCTTAAGGACAGTGTTTATGGATCTGATTGTTTCATATGTATTTCAAAATAAAAGCCCTTTTGTGCCATTGCATGATCTGAATTTACAATCCAATTGATCATGCTAATGATTGGATTAGTATCTTGCAAATGTGCTGACATAAAGATGTATACATCTGCTCAAGAATCAAACACTTTGGCTACGTTCACACTGCAAGTTACGATGCACAATTCCGAATTTGTGTTAAATCCGATCTTTTAGTGCAGTCGTTCACATTACAACTACGACTGCAACATCTAAAGTGAACGGAATGCGTCCATGAGGTGACCCGCATGCGCACAAAGCACAAATTGCTTTCCCCGCGCCTGTTTGTGTTGTTGAACAATGGTGACGTTTGTCGCATATTGATGACGTATAGGTCGGACAAACGCACCTGAGCGTCCACACTGCATCGGATACATATCCGATTTATATCCACATACAAATCAGAATTGCATTGTTCACACTTACATGAAAAAATCAGATATGTGTCACATATGGTTAAAAAATCTGAATTGACCTGCAGTGTGAACATCGCCTTAGTCATAAACAGACACAAAACCAAGGTGTGTTTGGTGCACATTAAAAAAAAACAGCCTCACTCTGCAGTTCAGCTGCTCAACATTAATGTGGAGGGAGGCGAGAGTCGGGCTGTTTACCCTCCATCAGGAGAGGCTGAGTACGTTAAATAATGGGGCAGGTATGAGTGAAAATATAAAGCATTGACCGCAGCTTCAGGGCAGCCTCCTGTAAATAATGTATGACTGTTAAAGAAAGAAAAGACGCGCAGCGATAAATACAAAACGAGCAGGATGAGAATGAACTCATCTGAATGATCGGAGACATTAGCGAGAATATTAATAACAGTAATTACAGGGCGTGTTGAAAGGCAAAGTTATTCCTCCATCCTCGCAGTAATTCGTGACGGGGCTGCAAACACCAAGTCAACCAATGAAATATTGATCACACCCTCCATCCTGCGCACACACACACACACACACACACAAACAGAGACAAAGACAGTGGTTCGGTGCAGTTTCTGTACAGTACTGCTGCTGCCCCCGCAGGAAACTGTAGGTGGAAGAAGCAGCAGACTGGAGGCCACTGATTATTGGGACTGCGTGGGCACCCTTGTGAAAAATTGATATAACGAGAAATCTGCCGGGTGGGTAGCAGAGAGTGCGTTAGTGTGTGCGTGTAGAGGGGGGTTTAATGGTGCAGGCGGGGAGATGAACATGAATATTGCCTCTTGTGTCTTTTTCACACCACGCACACTTACCCCCCCTCCCAAAAACAAAAAGAATCTGCCTGCACCAAAATAGACAAAACAGAGCCAGACTCCAAACACAAAACAGAAAAGCAGAGCCAAGAAACACCACGAACAAAATCAGGAGAACCATCTAAAGCCTGTTATCTCCAGGATGTAGAGGAATAACCTTTTTTCCCTATCAGCTAATGTCTAACCTCAGTAATTACCAACGCTGAGGCCAGGAGATCGAGTACAAAGAGGTTTTGAGATCTTAACTTGGATGTAAAAGCAGAAAAATGAGCCACAAGATTCAGCTTTCCTTCTTTTTTAGCATCTCTAGCCTCATAAAAATCATCCAAAACCCAAATTGGGACAAAAATCACTCCGGGGTAGAGATGAGAGAGCGAGGAAATGTTCCCATTTGTGTTACCAATTACACCAGACATTTAACCAGAGTAAATATTTGCAGATGACGCCCAATATTTGCAGATCATCCCTTTTATCTTAGAAGGTGCTTGTTGCCTTCAGGTCAGCGCTCCTCTATAATCAGATTCCTGAGTTTAAAGCTGTGGCCTTCACCGAACTACTAGACGATTCGTTTTTTACAACTTGCCTCTGGATAAAACCCCAAAATAAACCAAACTTGTTTTATTCATATAATTAAAAGAAACGACAGAGAGTATCTTATAAAACTGAGGTAACACCAACTACTGCGACACGCTCCTCCTGAGGTTAGACTCAGTATTAGTGTACGAACTGACTGTGACGGATTATGAAAGGTCACAAACAGACTGTAGTTTGCTGTCAGAGAGGCTGAGCGACACTGATAGAGTCTAAAAAGAGTAAAAATACAAACAGCTGAAGGAAAAAGTTAAAGATAATGAGGATTCAAGGTGAAGTCTTTGTGCTTGTTTGGTCTAAAGTGAAGGTTTGAAACCCAAAGAAATTCAGTTTACAGCAAGATACGACAAAGAAAGGCAGTAAATCCACACCAGACGGAGGAAGTATCACAAACTCTACATAGACAGATAAACTATTAAAATTACACAATACGATCTGATATGATATGGTGCATATATGTCTCTTCTTGGGGAATTTGTCTTTTGCTTAAGCTGCTCACAAAAGCACAAAAAAAGTATAAATCACCAAAGTTTTCCCTTCCTAGAAATCCAGAAAGAAGAAAAAGTGATGTACTTTTAAGACTGATTGTTTATCTTTCAGGTATTTCGTCAGTTTTATCAGTTCTGAAGAAAACCCGATACTCCGTTCAGCGTCATTACAGACTTTAACAAGTCTTCTGATTCACCTTAAGAGTCTGAGGACAGCCCTTAAAAGAAACATGAGACATGAAACAGTCATCGTCTGCAGGCGAGAGGCTTTCTGCTGAATTTCAAACCAACTGTTTCGTTTTGTTGCCGAGGTCAGAGTGGAGCTAAAACAAGCTGAATGTCGAACTTCATCCACTCAGCAAGTCAAGTGACACAGAACCAAGAGAGCTCAGCAAACTGAGAAACACGGACCAGAAATTTAACAAATTTTGCTTCTTTTGTTTTTACAAAATTTTGGAATCTACTTTTTTTAAGGTGGGAGTTTGGTGTTACGATTACTGTCCTCATGCCAATCTGAGTAGAAACCACACAGTATAAATGTAGATATATTTATACAGATGTGCAACTCTCAGCTAGAAATGACATATGCCAATTGACAAAACAGCCAAAGTAAAACTTGAAGCTCTTGTGAGGAGAGATTATTAGTACCATTTTTGACCACAGGGGGCGACAAAATAAACACAAACATAGAGTTCCTTACAGTAGCTATAAAATGTGTCAGCTGGAGTTCTTGTTTTGTAGTTTTTACTATTCTCTGATGTTTTATGTACCAAAAAAATAAGTAAATCAAAAAAATAAAATAGAACAGCTACAACCTCACAGAAATAAAAATGACCAAATTAAAAATCAAACTTTATCGCAAATTCAATCAGTCACCCACTGAGCCTTTCAGTCTAAAAGAGGTCTAATAGACGTCTAAATGTAGCCTAGACGACTGGTCTAAAATCAGGCTACCACAGGTCTAAAAATGAAAGTCTGAATTTAGACAAAGTCTAAATCTGGTCTATATCTATACTACACTGTATATTGCTCAACAGCTATCATAATTATTTTGGTAAAGTACTTGGAGATCAGTTTTGCAACTCACAGTTGCTTTTATGAAATAAAAAGTTATCGAATAATGGGTTAAAGAGCAACGTCTAAAAATATACAGAATCTAGACGGTTGAAATTAGGTCTAAAAAAACTAATAGCCGTCTGTTGCTCAGTGGGAAGATAAAAGGACGACATGACGGAACAATAAAAGTAAAGCCAAACACTAGAGCTCCCTTAATGTCTACATTATGGGCCTAAAGCCCTCCATGTAAACAGATGGAACATGGGTCAAACCCCAAAAGCCTAAATCCATGTTCAGACCATTTTTCTTCAGTAAAATTTTAATCATCAAACTTCACTTTTATCATGCTGGTCTATGTCAAAGTGTTAAATTTTTCAGAAAAGTTTAGTTTGAATTCAGTTTTTCAAAATATTAACGTCTGACCTGCACATGTTTAGATACGTACGAATATTACTATCTAAGTGAGGCTTTAACAGCAGCGCCTCTTCCTCTGCCACTTTTGTGGTTAGCCATTAGGCGAGCCCGTAAATTTGTTTAATCTTTGTGTTTTATTTTTGTTTTGTTATTTTGTCTTCTAGTGTAGAAGTTATCTACAGTCTAGAGTGCATGGGTTGGCCAATTTCATGTTATACTGAATACTCTATTGTTTTGAGTTTGAAGAAATATGAACTTTAACTCAAAATCTGAATTAAAGTTTGAATTTTGAATAAAAATTTACAGCCCTGGTTTGACTTGATTGTTATATAAATTGACAACTCTGTTTACAAATACAGCTTCTGTTACATCCACTCCTACAGACGTCTAAAGACAGTCAATGACTCGGACCTCAGTGTGGTATCACAGAGCAGACCTGTAGGACGCACAGAGTCAAAGCGAAAGCAGAAGTACCCTCAGTTATTAGGTTCTGAACCAAACAAGAGTGAGTCAAAGAAGAAATAAAAGACTCTCCAAACAGTTGAATCCCTCCAGCTCGACTGTCCCTCTGCCCACTTGTTGTTCGCTGAGTGACAGCACACTGACTGCTTCCTGTCAGAGCCTTTCACTTTGACAAGAGCTGTCGTGCTCAGTTTGATGAAAGCAGAGCTGTGGCTCAGGTTCTCCACGTACAAAGAAAAGAGTACAGAAACCTGCAGCTGCACTCACAGTCTGACCTCAATCTCACACTGACACACTACAGTCTCACTGAGCACGGTTTACCCAGACACTTTTAAGGTCTAACTATTGCACCATATCGCTGCGAGAACTTGGTCTAAGTGTTTCACAACAGTCTGTAGGACAGAATGTTCACTTCTTACCCCGGACTTGGCTGATGTTTCGTGCAGAAAACACTCAGAAACTCCTTTGTCGGCGAACAAAAGGCAGAAGGAGAAAGAACAACAAGTGCACACATACTCCTGTGTCAACACCAGCAGTCACAAGTGTGCGTTTCCACCCTATCAGCTGTGGCGGTGCAGCAGCGCGGGGCGAGGCCAGCGGTTTCCTCAGAATAATGTGACGAGGAGGGGAATTCCTGTAAGGCCCAGGAAGTGAGACAGAGAGGGGGGGGGGGAGGGAGGGCTGAGGGCCTGCCCTAACAGAGCCGGGCCAAGTGACGTCACTTAAACCGGCTTTGGCACCCTCCAGGGGATCCTTCTCCCTCCCTCCCTCCCTCTCTCCCTCCTCTCTCTCCCTCTCTGTGTTTGTGTTGGGGTGGGGGCGGAGGAATTTAATGTGCCCTGCCAACTTGTTATTGCTCAACAGCTCGCTCACCGGGTCAGGAGGTGTTTACCGACGAGATCTAATCTTTTTACCTCCAGCTCCTCTTTCTGTTCCTGTTCAACAATGAGGTTGCACCACAACAGCCGTTTGGTTTCAGTTTGCTCCGAGTGTGTTATATAAAAACCGGGGCTTCATTTAGAGTCTCCTCAGACAGCCTTCGAGTAGACCTGACATTTCAAGTGTTTCCAGCATTATGCTTTTATTACTTTTCCCCGGGTTAAATTGTTTATTGAAATTCTTGAGGCGAGTTCGTCTGGAAGTGAAAAGAGTTTTAGGAGAACTTTGTGCGGCAGATTTAACGACTACATTTGAATATTAAATGTACGCTGCAACATAACTCATTTAAAAAACAAGTAAATAGAAAGTTTTATTCTTCCGATTTAAGTTGTGGAGTTAAAAGTGGTTGCTGTAAGTAGGAGAAAAGTAAGTGAAACTCCTCTGATTCATTTGTTTACATGTATTGTGCAGCAAAGCAGAAAGAAAATCCAGATTTTCACAACAAACCAAGAAAAAAGAAAAAGTTCCTTCAGTGTGAAAAACTTCCTCTTTTTTAAATATTTACAGCAGCTTTGGTTTTCCCTTGGTTACTCTTCAGACGAGTCGTATCATTTGACCTCCTGTGAATGGACAAGACTCACATAGTGCATCATGGGTAATGTATTTCAGATGCTGTTTCAAATTGACGTGAGCTGATAAGAAGTTTCCTCGTCACGCTTTATAAACACACTGGAGGTGTTTATCGTAGCTGAGGTATGGAAGTAAATCTGTACCATCTGATTTTGAATTTGAAATTCTAAAGCTATTTTTTTTTTTGCATCAAAATCAGACATTGAATTTCAAAACCATCAAATTTCAAGTACATATTTTTATTTCTGAAACATTTTTTTTTACAATGATGAAATAAATTCACTATAAAAAAGATCGGTCTCTCAAATTATCTGTGACTTGAAAAAATTTTGTAAAAAAAATTCAACATAAAAAAATTAAGTGTCAAATAATTTAGTTTTTAAAAAGTCAGTGTAAAAGAGACAGACACTGAATTATTTGACACTTAATTTTGTTTTATGTTGAATTTTTTTACACAGTTTTTTGAAGTCGAGTTTTCACTAAACAAATGTTTTGAAATTCAAAGTCGGATTTTGATTAAAAAAAAATTCAGTTTTAGAAATTCCAATTCAAAATCAGATTTACTTCCATACTGAGGAGCTGTAAAGACACTCAGCAGAATCTGTTTTTCTTTTTCACTCAAGAAGAAAAAAATTGGCAGGAAGACGAGAATCTTTACAGTCAACATTAAATGGTTGAAGCTCAGTCAGCTGACCGTGGCGGCCTGCAGGTCGGCGTGTATGTGTGTAGAAAGGACCGGGGTCGATATTTAAAGGAGGGGATTCACCCCGCTCAGGGCAGACAGGCTGACAGCAGACGAGCGCTCGGCCTGCTGCGTTACATAAACTCGAGCAGCTGGGCGTTAAATGACAGAAACATCTCCCTGGATGACTCTCACTCCTCGTTTAACGACTCATTTTCCTCCACTGCACTTTTGTTTGGAACAAAGAGGAAGCTCCCTGCGCCTATTTTTGGCTTCATCATTATGGGGAATTCTTTGGGTTTTACAGTTTGGCCGCAGAAGAGGTTCAGAAAATCAGACAAATATTTTCTCAGGGCTAGAACAACAAACAGTGTAACCGAGCAGTTTCTGCAGCGTCACTGCAAAAAGCACAGATGATAAAGAGTCCCAAACTCCTGCATCAACAGAGCGCTCTGTAATTAGGCTGACCAAAGCAACAGTATGGAGTTGGAGTTGGCCGGCTGGAACAAAAATAAGCTTTGAGTCACTCAGGCGGCTTAGCAGCGCAGAATCTGTACTGTTCTTCAAAATGTCACAAAGACGGATCACTCAGGCAAACACACACTCATGTGTGTAAGAGCAACGCAGGACAAACTGTCTCATCCCTGTGGGAACATCTGAGCTAATGACAGCTGAGCTGGTGATAATGCAACAGAGCCTGAATGAAGTAAGCCAGCTAGTAACCTCTAAAGCCCAGCCCACTGTGAGTGAGTGTGTGTGTGTGTGTTTGTGTGTGTGCATGGCAGGTGTCCATCAGGTTAAAGATGTCGGCAAACACACACATAATCAGGGGAACACACAGAAATTGAATCCTCGCAGTCACCCAGACAAAAAATAACCATCAATTGAACCGATCCCGTTGCCAAAATTTTCTCCGCAGAAAACCAGACGCCCACGCTGACCCCTTCATACTCCGAATACCAACTGAAACCGCTCCAAAACCACCCGGGAACGACCGGCGAGTAACACAGTAACTGGTGCTGGACATCGTTTTCTGTTAAACTCTCTTTTAGCAAAGTTTGAAAGGATACAGCAACATTCACACCATGTTTTTCTTATGAAATAACAAACTTTATGGTAAAATAGCTGAAATTTTTATCAAGGACAGAGGGCCAGACTCCACTTTTTAAAACCAGCGTGGTCAATGTAGGATTGCTCAAGAGCCGGTTTGACTTTGCTCAAGTATTTCCTCTCTATGCTACTTAAATTTCTACTCCATTTCATATATCTGACAGCTGTTGCAGCTGTTAGTTACATTTCACGTTGAGTTTACATGGAAATCATTTCTAAGCTTCTATAACAGAGACGTTGTGTTACAGATTCAAACTGAGACTCTTGTTATAAAGACAATGGGGTCTTGTTATATTTTAGATTTGCCTTCAGCATGTTTCATTTAACATCACATTTGTTGTGTAAGAAATACTTTGAGTGTGACCAGTATAAATTGCAGAGAGGACTTTAATTATGTTGCTAGATTTTACCCAGAAGGACAGGGAAAAGCAGAGGGTCCATACCTCACCACAGGCTGTGCTCAATTACCCTCGTACAAAGGTAAACAGCTGTAACACACAGAGCTACACGGGCGCATGAAAAATGCACATTGCTGAACTCACAAAGACTTTTTCCAAATTTGAATAAATTGTCTCTGATCCCAAATTTCCACCACACCTGGAGCAGCTCCGATCCAGAACGGCAGTGATTTTCATCATCCGCCAATTCCTACTGGATCCGTTTGTGAGGTGAATATCATGGCGGATTACAGACAGCGGGAAACGCGAGAACTCACAAGAACCTGTGGATTCACGTGCAATCACGCGATAACGAGTTGTCTTTAGCCACATATCCATATAAGCAGTAGATTGTGTCCTTCCTGAGGAGGAAATCCACTTTAAAAGAAGACGCCAGACGTTTTATTTTGTGTCTGTGCCCGACTTCCTTTCCAGCACGGGTTAATCTGTGCTGAATTTATCTGGCATGCTCCGGCGTCCGTAAAAAATAGAAGTCTTACGCTCAGCTGCGAAGTCCGGCGAGCTGCAGCGGATCGGAAAGAAGACGGAGGAAATTGACACATTAACTTGAATGGTTACGATCAGCTACGATCAGTGGATACGGCCTTTTCAAAGCCGGTTGCAGTGGAAATTGGGGGTAATGGTGCAGCTTTAATCCTGATTTTTACCGTAAATTTCCGTTTTTATGTACTTTTACTCAAGTAGGATTATGGCTCAGTGAATTGTTTCACTAAAGACCAAACTATTTTGTCCAGCAATTCAGACAATCTTTTGTTTTCTTTTACTGAACAAATCCTCAAAGGATGAGACTTATAACTCAAACACAATTCCAGCAACAAGTGTCTTCCGCTCGGCAGATGTTGCTCTTGTGTCTCCATCTGTAATCACAGGGACATCCTTGCTAGAGAGGAGAGACTATTAAATCCTTCTAGGAAAAGAGACAACTCTTAATGAGATCTGCAGTGGGAGGCAGTGGGCGTGACCAAGAGGCTGTGAGCCTGTACGGGACACAAGGATCTAAACGCTACGCAAGGTCATTGATCACGTTACCAAACAGCAGTGGGATCCCGCTGAGGCTCAGCTCTTGTGCGTTGGCTACCTCTCACCTATTCTCTCCCTCCTTCCTCCTCCTGCTCCTCCTCCCTCCTTTCTGCCCTTTCGAGTGAAAACAAGGCCCGTCTCTCAACCATCACACTCTCCTCCATGTTAATGAGGGCTGCTGTGATCACTGCATATGCATGTGAACTGTTGTCGTCTATTGGAAACATGTGACACACGTTAGCAGCAGCACAGTAGCTTTTAATTCAAACGCGTCTCTTTTCCTCTTTGTTGAGTAAACACTTGATCTTCTCCCAGCCTGAATCATATTTACACATAAATCAGCAGCAGTGATTTTCCTGTCTTTGTGTTGTGTTGCAGTTTGATAGTGATTTAAGTGTGTTGTTTTGTTTAGTCTGTGCATATGTTGTAAAAAATGTGAATTATTTCTCTGTCTGTCTGTCATACACGGTGATTTTAAAGTACATCTCTGCTACATGGTGTGTTGTTGATTGAAAAGTGTTGTAATGTCATGTTACTCTCTGTTGTTACACTGACTTCATAGTGTATTGTTACACTGCACTGTTACACTTTTTCCACTTTTACAGAAAAAACACGAAGTGAAGTTTTTTAAGCCTCGGGGTGTTTCCCAGGGATTCCCTGAGAAACCTTTATGGTACGTGTGTCTCTTTAAGGATTCCTGGTCCAAGTGGTCCAGCTGTTTGGTGCCCTACAGGTCACAGGTCAAAGTTAGCTCCAACCAGGTGAGAAAAAAAGGTGAAGCTGAGGTCAAGAGATGAAGATGTAAGAGGAGTTACACCGCTTACATCATTTCATTCTAATGTTGTCATCGTAATAAATGGTAACCCTTTCTTTTACGGTACACTTATTACCAGGTAATTAACAAGTAATTACTTAGTAACGACATGAAATTATCTGGTAATTACATGATAACTACTAAGTCAATACTGTCTAGCTTTTCTTTTTTCTGTGCAGCTCCATTTTCAAAAGCTATTCGGGGTTCTTATTTTCTATGATTGACACTTGATACAGCCTATGGGTGTGTGAAGATTGCGTAGCAATACACTGTTTGAGCCGAGCGTTATCACAGCGACTCACCCGCCGAATGCGTACAATGCTACTGCACAAGTGGTGGTTCCAGGAAGTGGAGAAAATCCTGGAAATACCAGAGCAATTGGGCTTCAAATTTGTATGATGATGGAAGGTGACCTACCTGGTAGCTAGACAGTATTGACTTAGTAGTTATTATGTAATTACCAGATATTTTCATGTTGTTACAAGGTAATTACCTGTTAATTACCTGGTAATAAGTGTACCGTAAAAGAAAGCGTTACCTAATAAATATCTATTATATTTATTAAGCTGTATAACTGTTGCTACCATTATTGTTACACCATATAACGATACTTTACAGTGTTACAGTGATTGTAACATAGTGGGTGTGTTACAATATGATGATTGAATGTTGTGTTACTTTATGGTTTTAATGTTAACTTACAGTAATTTGTCACACAGTGGTTTGTTTACATTATTGTTATTATTTGACACCCACTGTGATGTTACAACGTTCTGTTACAAAGTGTTTGAACACAGTGTTACATTTTATTGTGACAATGCATCATCTAAGTGTGTAGTCACAGTGTTAGTAGTTTGTGTTGTAACAGTATGTTGTTTGTGTGTGGGTTGAGTGTTGTTAGACTGTGTGTGTAGTCATGTGTTGTTACAGTGTGTTAGTCGTGTGTTATTAGCCTGTGTGTGTAGTTCTGTTTGTGTGTGTAGTCATATGCTATCACAGTCAATTGTTACAGTCTGTAGATAGATTGTGTGTAGTTGTGTGTTATAAGATTGTGTGTTGTTGTGTGTTATTAGACTGTGTGTAGTTGTGTGTTATTATAGTGTGTGTTGTTCTGTGTTATTAGACTGTGTGTAGTTGTGTGTTATTAGACTGTGTGTTGTTGTGTGTTATTAGACTGTGTGTAGTTGTGTGTTATTAGACTGTATGTGTAGTTGTGTGTGTGTAGTCATGTGTTGTTACAGTGTGCTGTCACAGGCTGTTGTTACAGTGTCTTAACTGTGTATTATTAGCCTGTGTGTGTAGTAAGTGTGTTGTTACAGTTTGTCAATTGTGTATTGTTAGACTGCATGTGTTGTTGTGTGTTATTAGACTGTGTGCAGTTGTGTTTTGTTGAGTGTGTCGTCACAAGCTGTTGTTACAGTGTTTTCACTGAGTGTTCTTAGCCTGTGTGTGTATTAAGTGTGTTGTTACAGTTTGTCAATTGTGTATTGTTAGACTGTATGTGTAGTTGTGTGTGTGTGTAGTCATGTGCTGTCACAGTCTGTTGTTACAGTGTGTAAGTCGTGTGTTATTAGCCTGTGTGTGTAGTCGTGTGTGTGTGTTGTTGGAGTGTGCAGTCAGTGGGCCCTGAGGGAGCGGTGTCCGGCTCCACAGACTCCCACTGCGCTCTCCTGCAGCTGCTCTGAACCTCTCTCTCTCTCTCTCTCTCTCTCTCTCTCTCTCTCTCACTGTGAACGCTGCAGACAACCATCTGCCTTTATAGCTCATTTAGCACATTCACACCACCGTATACACGACTGGTACGACATGTAAACACAGAGGGGCATGTCTCTGCAGCGGTCGCCGCAGTCACCCGTGTGTACGACAGGCAGTGAAGCGTTAGCTCCACTCAGAAGTTAACCTACACAATTAAAAAAGAAACATTACCTGCTATTTAAAACGAGCTGAACCTTTAATTTAGGCTTTAAAAAACACAAGATCATCCAAATAAACTCAGGTCACCGACAGCAGGTTAGGCTCTTGGATTATTTGCAGAAAGAAGCACTTTTCTCTCTCTCTCTCTCTCTCTCTCTGATGAATACTGGTGCTGCTTCTTCCTCTGATGTTGTTGTTGCCACCCACCTGCATGCCATTCACTGCTGTTTCTCTGTGCTTTCCTCTGCCATCAGCAGTAGGCAGGAGGTAACGTTACATAACCGCACCAGGCACAAGCAACATGGCGTTCCCTCACTGTCTTTTTTTTATGTTCCTCCTCTTCCTCGGTTTTTTCATTCCTCGATTTCACCTCGTCCTCCTCCTCCTCCCATCACCATCATCATCATCACCCTCCTTCTTTCTCCCTCTCCTCTGTCATGCAACTCTTTTAATAAATTTTCTGGGAGCAGGTTACCCAGGAGGCACAGCTGATGGCGCTACTTTCCCAGTCAGGTGCGATCCAAATTTTGCAGAAGAAGAAGCAACAACCAGGTGATCTAATTCAATAAAAAGTGAACAAACCTTAAAAACAAAGTGGAAGACACTTAAGCTGGTGTTTCTGTCACTTTGTTAAACTGCTTTGACTTTGGTTTTTTACCAACAGGCCCACAGCCATTTCTCAGAGCTGAAACTTGCCAGGTTCCCTCACAAGGGGCAATTTGCAAACTCCCATAAAAACAGGTGAATGGACAAGCTCTCGGTGAGTAAACACAGCGCAGAGGAAATCCGGAAACACCTGCGGATTAAGCGCGTTTGCTGCTGGGGTGGATGTTTCCGAGCGACTTAATCTGATGATGCTTTTAAAGGAGTGTAATGAAATTACAGCGTCAAAGAAGAGCAATTAACAAAAAGGAAGAGGTTCTGTGCAGACAGTGAGGAGCTCAGGCGGTGGAGCTGACCTCTGAGAGGGTTTTTTCCTCTAAAACAAGCTCCTCTGTTCTCCACACACAGGCTAACCCAGTGGGACTGTGGGGGGTGGGGGGGTCTGATGATCTCACAGTGTGTGGATGAAGAAGAAGACGAAGTGCGTAAGTTCAGCTCTGCTCTATCTCTGGAGCGTGCTTGTTGCATAACTGCAGCACAGCTCATCCCCGGCTGCAGTCCACAGGCTTATCCTGTCCTACTGCTCATGTTGGACACCAGCGGCTGCTGCTGCTGCCGCCACGACAAGGAAGAGCAACATGCTGCAGCAGGCGAGCGAGTGCCAGTTCATGTGGGGGTTAACCACAGGAGTGTAGAAAGACGAGGGAACATCAGCAACTCAAACACTTATCAAGATCTGATGAGTAAGAGCTGCTTGGAAACTCGTGTTTCTCAATGAAACCAAAGTTTGAACTGATAAAAGTTTGATTTCTCAGTGAGTCGTTCCACATTTAATGATTAAAATGTCTTCAAACAAGTATGCCAAATATTTCATGGTTCATTTTTACGCAATTGTGAGAAACAAAAGAAGGAAATGAATGTGATATTTTGGATTATGAACAATCAGACTAAATATATTCTGGTTCTAGTTTGTCAAGAGAAACAAAAACTTCTGTGGTTAATAAATCCACACACAGTTTCAACCCCAAACATCAGAGAAAACTATCGATCAGTGTTACACACCACAGAGGGAATCAGTGTGAGGGAAACAGTCCAAACTTAGGCAACATAAAATGATGTAATGCTGTGAGAAGAACTGCAGAGAAAGAAGGAGACAAAGCCAGAGTTTCAAACTCAGCCGACAGAGAGAGAGAATAAAACACAAACTGATGAGCACAAAGAGGAGCGCTCACTCTGTGTCACACTGTACCTGTCTAGGAGGAAGAAGAAGTGCACCAGAGAAAAGTCGACTCTCTTCTCAGAGAGTGGCTGCCGGCTGATTTTCCCCTCCTGGAGTCAGTCTCCCTCACGGGGGAACACCTGACATTCCCGACCCAGACAGACAGACACTTCCCCAACCAATAACCGCTGACATTCCTCAGCCTCTCTCTCTACCTCTCTCTCTCTCTCTCGCTCTCTCTGTCTCCCGCAAAGAACTGAAAGAAAACAAAAAATGCCAACGCAGAGCAGAGCGGCGTGCGTCTGTCTGTCTCGTCTGTCTGTCTGTTCTCACACTCTAACGCACAGCTGTGTTTCTGTGCCGAGAGCTTTCACTTCTCACTTCTGCCTGCTTCCTCCACTGTGTCAGTGTAGCAACCACGCTTCTTCCTCCTCCCTCCCTGCCTGCCTGCCTGCCTTTGTGTTCCTCCTCCCTCCCTCCCTCCTCCTCTCCCTTCTTCTTCTTCTTCTCCTCCCTCCTTGTCTTTCTTTTTTTAAATCCCAACACTAAATCAGGGAAAGCCCTCCCTGCCTGCCTGAGCGTTAACTTCCCTGATCTGAGCAGCAGAGTGTTATCTTTTGATGAGAAAAAATAAGCAAAACAAAGCAGGATGGAGGATGTAAAAACAACACCAGCTCTAATTCCTCCGGTCACATACACACACAGTGTCAACATCAGATTAGCAGCTAACCCACTTGTGGCGCACAACCTCCCACGCCCCCTCACGGGCTATAAATACTCCTCTATCCGTGCTGTGCATTGATCTGTGTGTTCAGGCGAGCAGCGGTGGGGACATCCGCCACAAACGGAGGCTAATAAAGGCGCTAATATCTGCAGACCTTGAAGGGTGCTGTCAGTAAACACGGGGTTAAACTGGACGCAACGCCTCCTTAACACCACGCAGGCGAGAGACCGTACTTATATTTAGCATCTTCTGCTGCGACCGTCTCTGCAGGAATCAATTTAAACCCTCTCTGTGCAACTTTTTAAGTCGATTTTAGCGCCCCCTGTGGCCATAGCAGAAGCGTTTTTTCACTCATAGCTACTTTAGGAGGATTCATTATTTGCATGCAGTGGTTATATTTGGCTGTGTGGCTCCCTGCTCTTCCATGTAACCCCAAATTTCCGCTGCTGAACGGCAACAATTTTTTACCAATACGCCAATTCCTGCTGGATGCATTTGTGAGGCGAATTTCGTGACGATTTCAGACAGCGGGAATCAAGAGAACTCACAAGAACCTGCGGATTCACATGCAATCGTGCGATAATGAGTCGTCTCTATAAAGACAGACACATAACCATATAAGCAGTAGATTGTCTTGCCAGAGGAGGTAATCCACCTCAGCATCTCCTCATTCATGGTGTCTGAATATCTTTCACTTCTTCGTCTCCGCCCGTTTGCATGGTGTGAAATACAATCCGCCTGAAACATGTAGCGTTTTGTTTTGAAAAAAGACAGATGTTGTATTTTTTTGTCTGTGTCCGACTTCCTTTCCAACACGGGTTAATCTGTGCTGAATTTATGCGGCATGCTGCGGCGTCCGGGAAAAAGAGAATCCTGCCGATCAGCTGCAGAGTCCGCTGAACCGCAACAGAACGGAGAGAAGCCGGTGGAAATTGACACATAAATTGACACAAATTGACACATTAACTTGAACGGCTACTATCGGTGCATTCGACCTCTTCGCCGCCATTCCAGATGCGGTTGAAACTGGGGGTAAGTTTGCCTGCAGCAGGAAGAGCACACCTCCACGCTTTTAGGTGGATACATGAAAAAACAAGCTGGGGAGAGCATCAGCAAAGACCCAAGGGGTACATAACAGAGCTGGTACCCGTGACAATAAGACACTAGTAAAAACAGACACATCTCCATGGTGTTTCATATACAATTTCAACCTTACATAGCATTAACTGGATTAATGAGATTGTTGAACTGGTGTAAAACCAAAGCGATGCATTACAAGCAAAGACATGTGGACGTTACCAGCAAAGGCCGCCGGTGCTAGCTCTGCTATAGTTCACTTCATCAAACCAATGAAACACTGTCTACCTGCAGATTCTGGAGCCATGTTGGAGAAATTGTGCTTTTAGACTCGCTCAGTCAAACGTCTGTTCGGTGTAAAAGTCCAGGAAATGTGTCATTTTGTAACAAGGGTGAAGATAATGATGGTTGTTGCATCATTTTCCCAAATTATTAAACAACTATAGTTCAAAAAAATCTATGGTGCTCTACAGGCAGAGCGATCCAAACAGGAACATTCAGATCGTGTTAAATATTTAAGATGTGAGTGTGTGTCACCCTTGGGTGCTCACATAGTTGACTGATGTTTAACACAAACGGCTCAAAACGAAACTGAAGAGTGAGTAAAGCTTTAAGCCCCTCGAACATCCATGAAGAGGTTTGTCAAGTTTTACTCAGCGCCTGTTTTTCCTGAATCCAAACTAAATCTGAAGAGCTGTTTTTTTTATATATATGACCGTTAAATTGGCACCGATGAGTAAGTGGGTAGGTGATTGCTGGAGTGTCATTTGACTGTGTAGAAATAGTGTGAAAGCACGGCCATTAAAGCCCGGCCTCCATCCAACAGGTAAGACGCAACCGTGCTGAATCAGGAAATACTGTTTGTTTACTTCACGTGTCTTCTTTCACAGAATGACGATTAAATCTCTATTTATTCCAGTTTCTCTCCTCCTGAATATATTTTTCCATCGATGACTCTTCAGATTATTTTGCATGTTTGCTCTTAACACACACACACACTCACAATCACAATCACACGCCATCAGACACACAAAGATGTGACAGCAGGAACACCTGCACACCCTGCAGAGACTCACTGTTAGTCATGCTGTTCACATGGAAAAAACACAATCTTCGTTATACAAAAAAATGCCTGAATTTCATTTTACAAGGCACACCTGAACCCGAGACTGAGTCACACATCGATGCCCTGCAGGTTCCCACACACACACACATAAATATACAAGGTGTACAAACACACACACGCACGCACAGTCTCTCATGGAAGCAGCGTACTTGTTTTTGGTCCGGGGGCGGCTGGCATTCTTGCGTAGTGCTCTAACAGAAATCATCCAGAGTGTGAGGTCTAAAAATACAACCGGAGGATTTTTAAATCCACCTTCCTCCTGCAGCTCTGCCTCGTTAGAGGAGGGAAGTCGCAGCTCAGAATTCCCCCGAGTCTCTCCCATCAGGGGCTCAGAAACCCCCCCTCCCAACATCTCTCCCCATGGCAACAGCGGCTAAAGGAAGAGACGGCCCGTGTTACGCAAGAGGATGAAGCTTTGCCAGCAGGCGAGCACCCCTTCCTCCTCCTCCTCCTCCTCCTCCTCCTCCTCCTTCCTCTCACACATATTTTCACAGCTTCTTTATTAACCCTCTTTACATTTTCCCCTTTACCACCCTTAACCCCACATCAGTCTCTGTTTTAATCACGCGCTCTTTCACACTTGTAACCCTTCTCCTTCCTCACCCCTTTTTTCATCTCTTTTTCATTTCCTCCTCCACTCATTTTTTAAGAGACGTTTATCTTCGTTCAGGACGTCTGAGCTCCTTCATGTTTGAGAAATGAAAAAGGCGTCTTTTCTGCAGTCAGCTGACCCGTCAATAGCTGACTCAATAACTCGTACAAAAGCTTTAGATGAGCGCCTGACCTCAGTGAAGGGAACAGAGCACAAGTTTCCTCTTTGTGAATTAATCAGTGACTTTCTGCAGGGTTCACCAAGTTGGTTTCAAGACTTTGGGAGCTTTTTTTTAACACTCCGATAAATGAAACTTCATCCTCCTTTTCCAACAAATCAGCCAAAAACAGACAGAAAACAGGCTGAGCAGATTTGACTTTCTCAGGGACGTCTGTGCAGGTTGAATTATGATCAAATTTAAGGTGCATTTGGAGACTGAAGTATCTGAAATAACAGGATCTAAGTTTTCCTCATGAAGCTCAGGGTGGGAGGGATGTTCCTGTTACGATTGTGTCTGGTTGTATATGTTTGAAGATCTTTAAAATAAAAGGGATTGGAAAAATTCACAGCTACCTAATCAATTAGACACTAAGGACAATTGATAGTAAAATCATATATAATACAATAATATTAAAAGTGACGTTTAGGTGTTTTTAAGTGTGTGTACTTTGAGTTTTGAAATCTGAGTAAAAACATGTTTAAGATGTTGAAAAACTTTCACTTTTACTCAGTTTTCAACAACTTTGTTTTTTAACTTTTACTTTTTCTTTTGTCTGGCTTTTAACCTACTTTCAATTTTTCCTTTTTTTTTTTTTTAATGGGCTCTAATGATTGTCAAGTTTTGCCTTTTTTTGGAAAAAGTGTTGGGACCCCAGTTCAGCAGTTTCAGGTTGGGCCTCTTATCCAAAGGTTACAGCCCTAATCTCAGTTGCAGTTGCTGGTTTGACTCCTATCCTCAGTCCTCGGCTGCATGTCTTCTCTTGCCCTCTACTTCCCACATTTCTTGTCCTTCTTTAGCACAAAAAAATCCCCCAAAAGTGACTTAAACAAACAAACTTGTACCAACTACGATTGTCGAAACATTCACATTTCAAGTTGAATAACACTGAAGTTAATATAAAACTAAACTGTGTTAAAATGATACCTGTCAGTATTAACAATGAACTAAGATTCATCTTTAATCATTTTTTTTTATCATTGTGTCTATGAAAAACTTTTAAAGAGACTATTATCCTGTGAAAATGTTTTTATGGGGCGCCAAATGTAAAAATTCAGTCACTGTTTAAAAGGTGACATTTTGTGAGGATTTAGCTCATTTTTCTCACATTTAGTTTGTTTTTCTTTCATTTGAGACCGAGATTCAAGTAAAACAACATGTTTATTTTATTTGTTAAAAATGTGTAGACATGAAAATAGATCTAAATCTGAATCTAAATGTTAAATATAAACATAAATCCTAAATCAAAATCTAGAAATTAGATATATATTGAACATTTAGATTTAGGATTAAGATTTACATTTAACATTAAGATTTAAAATTAGATTTATTTTTCATGTCTACACTTTTTACCAGTTAAAATAAACATGTTGTTTTACTTGAATCTCGGTCTCAAATGAAAGAAAAACAAACTAAATGTGAGAAAAATGAGCTGAATCTTTACAAAATGTCACTATTTAAACAGTAACTGAATCTTTGTATTCTGCTCCCCGTAACAAAGGTTTTCCTTTCCCTGGTTACAGATAAATCACTCTTACAGTGACGTGTTTTTGTGCAACACCTCGTTTTTTTCTCAGCTGTCAATGCAGCCGAAATCAGCTGACAACCTCCTGACCTCGCTTTGTGTATCTGTGTGTGTATGTCTGTGTGTGTGTGTGTGCGTACAGTATCGACCTCACGCCTGTGTGTACGTCTTTAAGTACTGACCTGACCCCCCTCACCCTCCCTGATGACTCACACATTGTTTGGAGGCTTTCAATCATCTCCATTGACCCCCTGGACCTCGCTGGAGTCTAAGCAGAGCAGGACAAACACCCAACCTTCTCCCCCCTCCTCTTCCTCCTGACGCTGACAATCACTTCAGGGCAAACTCTTCCTCCTCCTCCACATCCTCGCCACAGTGGATACCTTATGAACGCTCAAACACGCAGGCAGAGCATCACGTTTTGTGCTGATGGCAGTGAGCTGAAACAAACGGTGAGTTCATGAATGAAGAGACGAGGCGGCGCTCGTACAGAGGGAAGAGGTTTGCATGCATGTAAAAGCTCCTCTGATTCCAGTTAAACGCCCACAGTCAGAGTTATGAAGCAGTCGACCTTGTTATTCAGCATCCTGCTCTCTGCTGACTGGACAATGTTCGACCTCGGAGACCGAGAGAAACATTACAGGAGGTCATCAAAACCGTGATGAGCTCAAGTTAGACGCTTCTGCAACTGTTCTTCGTCCAGAAAGACCAGAGTTTAGTCACATAACATCTGAGTACGGTTCGGTCTGAATGTGGTTCACTCAACAAAAATAAAAACTGATAAGAGGAAGATTATTTTCTTGTTCGAAGAAATCATCTGTGATTCATCGTTCCTCTGTCTCCAACTCGGAGCAAAGTTTTCAGAAGAGCGGAAAGAAGAGGAGACGAAGGACTTTAACTTTTCTCTCACGTGTTTGTGAACCTTCAGTTGCAGCCCTAAATATCAGTGCATGTAATTTTAGACAAGTTAGCATCTTCCATCCACTTGTTTTCTCCTGCTTACCCTGGATCAGGTCAAAGGGAAGCAGTCCCAGCAAGTTAACCAGAACTCCCTCTGACTGTGAACCCTTCCCATCTCTTCATGTGGGATCCTTAGGAGCTCCCAGGCTAGATGGGACATGTAATCCCTTTAGTGAGATCTGGGCCTACCTTGAGGTCTCCTTTAACACCTCCACTGGGAGGTGTCCAGGGGTCATCCTTATTAGTGGTTGACCGAGTACAGTTTTTCAACAGCTGATGCTTATACCAATAAAAGGAGAGCAGGTTGGACTAGGGCTGGGTGATAAACCGAAAATTTACCGCCTATGAAATTTACGACAATAACCGGCATCATTTTGTCCATGTCAATATTTCCAGTGTCCAAAAAATAAGTTTACTGTAAAATTCAGGATGAAAGCTGCACGATAAGAGACAGTTTATTCAATAATGGAAAAAGTCTTTGTGAGTTCAGCAATGTGCAGTTTTTATGCACCCGTGTAGTTCAGTGTGGTACAGCTGTTTTCACAGTTTTGCTAGTTTCTACTGGGGTAGTTGAGCTCAGCCTGTGGTAGGGCTGGGCGACAAGCCGAAAATTAACCAATACCGAAATTTACGACGATAACTGACATCATTTTGCACATGTCAATAAATTTGGTGTCATAAAAAGTAAATAAATAAAAGTTGGTGTTGGATGTGTGTAGGTAGGCTATAGTCTCATGTCCCTTTAAGACGCTGTCCTACGTCAGAGACAGGTGAGGAGATGGAGGACAGTTCAAAAGTTGTAGCGGCTGAAGTAGACGAAGTTAATGTGGGAGGGGGGTGAGCAGCTTGTGGAGTAGTTATCGTCCAATGCTCCAACATAAATCAGAAAAGTTTCCTCAACTTTACTCTGCAATATTTTACATAAAGAAAGAAATCCTCCACTCCTTTATTTTCCGTCATCCTGAGCCCGAAAACTCTCACTGCCAGAAAAAAAACGGTGTACCAACATTTCTTAAGCGTCCTAGAATAACAACTAATTTGATTTCAGGAGAGTGAAGTCGAGGTTTTAGCAGCAGCTCCATCAGGATCCATTGTCTCAGCAGTGCTGCATCAACAAACAGAGCGGGTAATGGTTCACTTCACACAACAAAAGACGAACTGCAATTTTCTCTAATCTCTTCAAACTGCTCTCAAACATCTCTAAGTGTTCAGGAGGAGGAACAACAAAAAGTCTTCAGAGGACAGGAGAGGAGCATCTGTAACGGAGCGGAGGATTGTCGTGTGGAGGTTTTCAAGACGGCGAGGCGAGGCGACACGTCTTCAGGAGTTTTTGTTGTCAGGAGTCACTGCTGCTGCTGTTGCTGCTTCTTTTTGACGCCTGCGAGCGAATCAAACTGCCTCCATTCCCATGCGGCTCCACTGTTAGTAAGTCATCCCCCGGGCTTGTGCATGTGACTCACAGCTGCGCTCTGATTGGCCGCCGTGCTGCTGCGATGATGTCAGACGTCCCACGCAGCAGCAGCATCAGCAGCAGCAGAGAAACAGCGAGTGTCAGTGTTGATAAATACAGCCCACGTACTGCCTGACCTTAAGAAAACTGTACAGCTCGCCTCTTCCTCCTCACGCCTGCCCACCTGCCCCCCCCCCCCTCATCCTCAACATCTGGTCGCCACGGCAGCAGCGGACGACTTCAGGTCAAGGTCTACCAAAGGCTAAAAAAACTACAGCTGAATGATAATTTATACACTTTATGTCAAATCCCAGATGCAGTGAGCAGAATTAAACAGCTTATATTGAATTAATTACAATCTATGATGTTGTTGCAGCAAAACTGTACGAATAAATAAATAAAGCTCTCTGCAAGGCCTGCTGAATCTATGCATGACCTGACTGGACCAGACAGGCAGACGAAGGCTGGAAACTGGATCAGGAGGTGGGATGAGAGGCTGGTTTTATACTCAGAAAAGTCTGAGTGTTACTCGGATGTGTCATTTTTAAGACAGGAGGAGAATCAACAGTGAAACACTCAGCAGTTCTTTCACCCCACTTTCTTCCATTGAACTTTCTACCTCCTCTCGACTTTAAGTGTTTTTTCCCCTAAAAAAGCTTTTAGTGTGGAGGTGCATCTCCAAAACTTTTGAATATTATGAAAAAGTTTGATATTTTCCTTACGTATTTGACATTAACTTAGATGTTTTAAAGTGCTTTATGTTAGTTTTTTTGATAAGTTTGGTCCCCAGCACAAAAAATTGAACTTTTTTTTTTTGCCCTGATCAGAATATTTAAAGCTCCTGTCAGTAACTTTCTGTCTGTGTTGGTTTTGGCGCCCCCTCTGGACAAAGTGATAATCGTTTTATCGTAGCTGATATATTCCGTTCTGACAAAAGTGGCATTAATGAACCAAAAATTCGTCACTCATTTTCAATATTTGCTGAGGACAAGTAACGAAGTCTGTTCTGTAACTGAACCGACCCTCTCACAACATTTACAAAAAATATAATATAAAAATAACAGAATGATGGTCTTATTTGTTTTAAAGTATCATGAAGAAGTATTAATATAGATTTTATTCTACTTTGTGTAAAAAACTCACAGAAGCTTCAAAAAACAAGTTTCTCAAAAAAAATTCCTCTCAAAACTTCCAAAAAACTTTTTTAAATGTTTTGTTTTACTTAAAATCAAAAGTCCGAATCATCACATTATCCTTCAGATTTGTGTGATTTTAATCATTTTAAAACTTGTTTTATCACTTTGAATGGAAATGATCAGTTGAATCAATCTGTTTTGATGTTAGACACAACAAAAACCTTTTCAAATTGTACTGCTGTAATCTTTGTTTACCCTGGCAAAGATAGGTCAAAAGGTCAAAGATAAAATATCACTACAACAATTTATAATCATCCAGCTTGGTGAGATAAAATTACTGTAACTCTGGTGCTAAATCTCCAGTTTAAAGCTCCTATTGGGAGTTTTTCCTATTAAATAAATAGACTAAAAATCAATTAATGCTTTTTTATAATTAAAAAAAGCATATCTAAACAAAAGGGACAAAAATTGACAATTTCATACAGTTACTTTTACCACCTACTAAAAGTTTCTTACAGGAGCTTTAATTTAACTTTTTAATTTTAACAACCCCGTCACTTATTTGAAGACATATTTGATTTAATGAGGTCCAATGATGAACTTTACTTCCCTTTTTATCACATCCTGCATTTCTGTACCAGCTCTTCTTTTAACAGTTAGCTTCTCCTCCCTCCTCACTCCTCCTTCTCTCCTCCCTCCCTCCCCCCTCGTAGGAGCTTCCAGCAGTCGGACACGAGGAACAGCACCTGCAGACCGAGACTCATGCTGCTCTGTTTCCCTGGCAACCCCTACATCGGGCTTTGCGTGTGCAAACCATTAAGCAATGCCAGCTCTGCATACACACACGCACGCACATGCAGCTGCACACACACACATGCATGGAAAGCGCCCCCACACAACACAACACAACAACCCTTTTAAGGGTTTCCGGATGACTCCTTTATTTTTAATTTGGAGGCTTTATTTTGTTTACTTTTCGACTCCAGCAGCTGAACTCGGCTCACATTTTCCTGCATTCCTAAAAAAAATGACCCTGGGAGTCAGCAGCCTGCGTCTAACAGAGGCAGGTTGTGTTGGGACATCTCTCTGCAGTTGGCATACATCCTCAGTGTGAATAGGAGCAGCTCTCCACCCCCTTTAAATGTGTCATGAGTACACCTCAGAATAATGTGACATCCAGCCCTTGCGTTGGTCCTGTTTCGCCACCACAGAGTGAATTTCTTCCTCTATTCTGGGTCTCTGTGCTGACGCCAGCGGAGGCAAATCCTGCCGGCCCCCGCCCTGCTTTTTCCCCTCATCAAGCCCTGCTCACCTTTCTGAGTTGCCAACATCAATGCTGCTCAAAAAAAGTTTCCAGGAAGTGGCTCGTCAGGCTGCGAAAGCACACCTGTGGAGGGGAAAAGTGCTTGTTTGTGTACGTGTGCATGTGTGAGTGGAGGTCAGCGTTCGTTAGCTCCAATTTAGTCCAGCCGGCCTGAGGCCTTCACTTACGCTTTACTTTGAAAAGCTGAAACCAAATAGTTTGACTGGTTGGAAAGTAGACACAAGGTGAAACCCGGGACGTACACAGGAGGCTGTAAACAGACAGGTCGTGTCTCTGCGGGGGGGTTGGACGTAAAAGTCTGAGTGGGTGGTGATGTGGTTTTGTTCACAGTGGAGCGGTGACAGGTTAGAGAAGAGTGGTAATGAGCAGGGAGCGTCATATCTTTAGGAGATCTCAGCGCTCTACTACTCTTTTCCTTTTTAATAAGGGTTGAAGTAGCAGAGTTGGGCTTGGACCGGCTCTTGGTTATCCTGCTATAGGCTCAGCCAGGATTTCCACCACATCCAGAACGGCAGCGATTTTCGACGTCCACCAATTCCTACCGGATCCGTTTGTGAGGTGAGTGTCATGGCAGATTACGGACAGCAGGAATCGCGAGAACTCACAAGAACCCGCGGATTCACGTGCAATCACACGATATCAAGTTGTCTTTAGCCACATAGGCTAACCATATAGCAGTAGATTGTGTCCTTCCAGAGGAGGAAATGTACTTCTAGACTTCTAGAACCAGCATCTCCTCATCCATGGTGTCATCTGGATGAAATGCTGTCTATAAACCTTTCACTTGTTCAGCTCATTTGCATGGTGTGAAATACGATCTGCCTGAAACATGGAGTGTTTTATTTTGAAAAGAAGCCAGACGTTTTATTTTGTGTCTGTGCCCGACTTCCTTTCCTGCACGGGTTAATCTGTGCTGAATTTATCCAGCATGCTCCAGCATCCGGATAAAATTGAACTCTTACAAGCAGCTGCGGAGTCTGGCGATCCGTAGCAGAACAGAAAGAAGCCGGTAGAAATTGACACATTAACTTGAATGGTTACGATCAGCGACGTTGGCGGATGCGGCCGTTTCGCAGCCAGTGGAAATTAGGGGTAAGACTTCAAGGAGAACTGGCACACTAAGATTCTGATCCTGTACCTCACTATCCCTCCTCCCTCTGTCTTTATGTAACTAACTTTAACTTTAAACAGTCATGTCCCTGACCACAGATCTTCAGGGGGTCTCTCAGCGCCATTGTCTTGTAGGTAGGGCTAGGCGATAAACTGAAAATTTACTGATACAGAAATTAACGACAACAACTGGTGTCATTTTGCCCATGTCAATGTATTCAGTGTCAAAATAATTAAATAAAAGTAGTTGGAATGTGTTCAAAAAGTTTTGGATGTGTGTAGGTAGGCTGTGGTCTCATGTCCCTTTAAGACGCTGTCCTACGTCAGGTGAGGAGATGGAGGACGGTTTAAAAGTTGTCGCTGCTGAAGTAGAAGAAGTTAATGTGGGAGGGGGTGAGCAGAATGTGGAGTAGTTCTTGTCCATTTATCATTATCATTATCGTTAATTTCTCAATATATCATGATATTGATTTGAGGCCATATCGCCCAGCCCTACTTGTAGGTTCCTCTGGATTGTTGCTTCTCTGGACCTGGACCTGGACTCTGGACTCAGTCCGACCAGAATCATCATCTTGACTCTGCCAGTGTAAACTATACCTATGATTAATACACAACATGCAGACTTGTTAAACCATAGGTCTGCACGGGCTGATTTGTTGTTGTTGTTGACTGTTTGTTCGTCTCTATTGGACACGCTCTTCAAACTTGAACTGCTCTGTCTGGTTTGGGTGAAGTCAGCTGGGTAGGGCATGCAGGTAAAGGAGGAGGAGTCTACCATGAAGATGACTGTGGATGTAGACAGATATACTATAGGTAGAATCAGATTACTCCAACTTCTTCAGGACATTTTGTTCAGACACTTGCGAAGACAAAGTCTGCATCGATTCAGGTCAGACATATTTGCACCTCACCCTCACAGCAACAGGAAATCTTCAGGGGTCTGATTTTAGTCACAAAACCGCGTCTCTGCCTCTGCACTAATATACTGTATCTGTACACACACAAAGCACCAAACACACACACAACCTTTTCTGCACACGAGGGCGGCTGCTGTTAGCTCCTGTATTAGTCAGCAGCGCCTAACAAACAGGCGGAGATTGACTGACATTCATAGCGAGAGTAGAGCGGTAAACAGAGTAGGGGGGGAGGTGGGAGGAAGAGGAGCCGCAGCAGGAGGACTGATAATGTCACTGTCATTGTTTCAAAGTAAAGTGAATTTCCCAAACTATACAAGCAGTTAAAAATAGACAAATATCATATCAGTCACCACTTAATCAAAGCTGCTGGAGTTTTGTGATTTTATGCAGAAGTCCAGATAATCAGATATTTGGGTTTTACACTGACCCTTATTCGTCGCTCCATTTCTTTATCTCAAATCTATCTGTGGTCAGAAACTGCGAGAACAGAGTACAGAGTAAAAACGATGTGCTTTCAGTCAAACAGCTCACGTTGTATTTGCATTATCTGTGTTTGCCGTCTCGGCGCCGACCTCATTATTTCTTACAAATTTGTTCTACAAGCAGAAAATTGAGGCGTGATGAGACAGTATCTGAAACACTTCCCCCCGAGACGGAGCCTGCAGGTGGATGCTGGAGAGGAGTGTAAGTGCAGGGAGGGAGACAGAGGCAAGGACGGATCTGTGAAATCTATGAAATCTATGGAGCTGGAGTTGCATGCCTGAACTAGCTCACAGACATGTCAGTGCCTCATTCTTAACAAACCACAATCACATACTGATATTTTTAGGAACGATGTCATTTGAGTGTACAGGCACTAAAAAAAGGCGTGTAAGTGAATTCAACTATTCTTATTTTCATTTTGACTCGACTTACTGACCTTTAGGAGGTGTAATGAAACATCGCTCTGAGGTCTAACAGACTCTTTGGTGTGTGAGGTCTTAAGATCAGAAAATGTCAAATCTTAATTTTAACTTTTCAGAGACACAAAAAACGTGTCTTCAAAGACCCAAAAGCCCAAAAATCAGGTTTTTCTAGTTTTTTTACATGTTCATATGACATTTTTCTGATGCTACAGGACATATCATGAGGAAAAAAAGGTGCAAAACTGCATTTCTGAGTATTTCTTCATTCAAATTGCTGTGAACCTCCTGCAGACCCAGACCGCAGGTTCAGATACAATGAGATTTCTTATATCACAAATCTGAGCTCCGCCCCCTCGGAAAAGTAGAGAGAGCAATCGCGGAACAAGCGTGTTCGTTAGGAGATTGCAAAGCTCATAAGAAAGCTAATAATGATACTAACTTTCATCATGCCCTCAAAGACTGAGAGCTGAATATCTCCTGCAACACCGGTAATGTTGGGCTGCAACATGAAGACGAGAGTGCAGAGCAGCGCTGACTCCGCCCACAACTCTGAGGCGAATTGCTAATGATCTACTGGAGCTCTGCAGAAGAAAAGTCCTTGAAAATGACACAGGTAATGTGATTTTTGCTAAAAGCTAAAAACTTTTAGGGCAACACAATCAAAATTTGGTATTGCAGTTTACTCATCTAACATCTTCATATCTTATATATTTATTAATAATAAAGTATTTCTCACTTTTATCTAAATATGTTTTCGTGTTTCTCTCCATTTAAAGCCTTAATGTTCAACCAGCTGTTTGATTTACAACCAATTTGTGACTCATCTCCCATTGAAATAAAAAAAAACATGAAGTAATAATTACTCTAACAAGCTGCCAGCTGAAATCCTCACAAATTAGCCCGCTCATAAACGTGTTTCCTCAGAACCAGATGTGAGCAGGTGTTTGGGCGGCTCCTCTCTGCACCTCCTCGCTGGAGTCGCTCCTGAGGGCAGATTTGTCACAGAACGACCGCCCTGCACTCAGCAGACGGCCTGAGGTGATGAAAAACACTCAATTTCGCAAAACACCTCACAATTAAGAGTTCACACAGACCGGAGAAGGGCGCTAACCTCCCATCAGCGCAGTTTTCCATCTTTATGAATATGTTTTGCACGTTGAGCCAAAGGACCAAAGCAGAGGCTCTTTTTTTCCTCCGCTGGAGAAACGAGGAATAGACATTAACCCACATAGCAGGTTGGCAGAATGAGCACATATTCAATTTCATTCACACTAAACACAGTAAGGCCATTAAAATTCCTCCCTCCCTGTCCCAGCTCTGCCTCTGTGTCAAAGTGAAAGCAGCTCCGAGGTAACCACCAAGTTAAACAGACTTCCCTGCCTTGTTGTAGTTACTGTTGCTAAAAACCTCCGTTTATTCCCGCCTCCGGGAGAGAAGTTCCCTTTGTGTGAATCTCGCTGCGTTTGCACACTGTAATTTGAAGGGACTGTACGGAAACACTGGTTTGGCTGCCTGAGCATGACACAACATGTAAAAATCCATTCAGGCAGGCCAGGACGTTAACTCTTTATCTGCACCTCCCAGGCTTTTATATAAGCAATAAAACAGGCCGGAGACCTCAGCTCACATTTTAACTCAGAGTTAAACGTCTGCGCCAAGATGACCTGTAAACACAAACTGCTGCTGTCTTTACATTTCAGTGAAATCACAGGAAGACTGAGCTAAAAACCACCATCAGCTCAAGTCCTCACGCTGCACTGAGCTGTCAACAAAAGTGGTACTAAAGGTGAAACTGTAAATGCAAGAGAAGAAAAACAATCATGTTTGTTCCCTAAGAGCGTGCACACAAAGTTTGCTCTACTTTTTTGCACGTCACTCCTCCTGTGTTTTTCCAGGACACCCCAACCTGCAGAGTTAAATCACAGACTCTGGAGACACTGATGTAGCAGCAAAGCTAACATTCGTCTCTATAATCGTAGGAATCCCCCTGTATAATTTGAGGTTCAGCCGTGATGCATATTGTGACTAATTTCCTCAAATAAAGGTTTCTATAAAAGTTTCGGTTTGCAGGCTGTCTGACTTACTCCTGCACATCACCAGGAAGATGAAAAACTGCATAAAACTTTGAATTACCTTCAACAAAATGATGGATTTCCTCGGTGTGAAAGATTATTTAAAACATACACAAAGATTTCAATAAAATACACACTTCTTTTAGGTATTTTAATGTTTAGTTGTTTATGCATTTAGTAAGATAGAACTTCTGAGAGGCCTGCAAAATGAATGGCAAATTTTGGGATATTGCAATGTGTGCAAATACAAAGCAAAACGCTTAATTTACTGCAGAAAATTGCGAGTTCTTTAAACATTTACAATCAGTATGGAAGAGGATTGGGTCCAATACAATTTTTTAATTATTATTCTGAAAAAAGTCAGAATTCTGGCTTTAATCTCAGAACTTTGTTGTCTCTGTTGTCCACTCCTATTTTGTGAAACAGGTAGGACATGGACTCTCCATTGTTGACACGGTGGATAGCGTATCAAGAGTATCATGCCCATGTCCACTGTTTTTTTTTATCTTGGGGGAAAAAAAGTCTGAGATTAAAGTCAGAATAATAATTTCAAAAGTTATATTAGACCTTTTTTTGTCAGTGGCCCTAATCCTCCTCCTTAAATCAGTGCTTTCTCACTCTGCTTGTGTCTTTTTACCTGTTAGACTGCACTCTATGTATTGTGGCTTTTGCACCAACTATGTCATTGCAAACAGCTTTTCTTCTCATAACGTTCAGACCGACTTGTTTTCCTAAGGTTAAGTGTGGTGAGAAGAAGAGATCATTTTTGTTTCCTCTTGAGGAAATCAGACTTAAAGTCATGAATTATTAAAAAGCAGAATTGTAAATTTTTAATTATAGATATGTACAAAAAAAGTCCAATTTTATCCCATTTAAGACTTATCGGTAATCGGCCAAAACTCGCCATTTAATGTTCCGCTGTTTGAAAAGTTCCCCGACTTATCCTGTAGATGGCGCAGCGACTTCATGACAATCTTCACCCACTAACTACCTCACAGCACAGCAGAGTGACGGATCTGAAGCAGGCAGCTCAGGGACGCACGGAGGAGAGTGGTCCGCCTCAACGGTAAATAAACCAGTTTGTGAAATACACAATATGTCAACAAGTTTCTGTTCAACCCACTTCACCATATTCCCCGCTGTGCTGGTCTCGGTCACGCAGAGTTAACGGTGAAGCACCATGCAATATGCAAGCTAAAGTTAGAGTTAGCCACCTGCTATTAGCCTTGCTACACTGTCAGCCGTGCCAGTAACAGTAGAATAAACAACACTACACATTAATGATCGCGCTGTTTTGATTCCCTGTGTTGTCATATCACCATGACTACTGCAGGAAGAAAGACTCTCTTCAAATCAGTAAAACTAAGTTTGTTCAGTTTGGGTTCATGATTAGTTAAACCAGCATGTATGATTAATATTCGGTTTTCCACAGAGCAGAAGCAGCATCAGTAAACAGAGGACCCTGACCCCGGTCCCTGACGGCGGGATTAAATAGCTTTGAGAAGGAGCTTCCACGCAGGTTAAAATTGAGGCCTGAGATAGAAGAGGCATCGCAAACTTCTCTGACCTTCACCCTGACGGCTAAAAGGAGCGCGGTCAGTTCTCCGCCAAAAAAAGACTTTTAAAAGCTTTAAAGCAGCAAACATCAGCTCTGTGTCCGTGCAGGTTGCTGCTTCTGCTGCTGTTTTCTGACCCTGGATATTTAACCACAGCGAGCGCCGACGGTTTCTCTTTAACTGAAAACTGTTGCTGTCAAGGCTGACGTGAAAAAAAACGAGGTGCAGAAAACAACAACAACACGAGGTTTAAGACAGAAATCTGAACCATTCAGCCCTGGCATGTGTGGAGAATTCAGCACCTGCTTTAATAACCACAATAAACCCTTACAAATTACGCTAATAAAGATTCATAAGGCAGCAGGGGTGATGCAATGAAATACACAAAGTTTATTTCTGTTTAAACATCACTGTCAGCACAGAGGGGCGTGTCAGAGGGATGGGAACCTCCGTCTCAGTCTCCCCGCTCGGGCTTTACGGGGTAAACATTTTCCACCTTGTTAAACGCAGACCCCCCTTTTCACTGCAGTTGTTCACGATTTATCACGCAGCGTGATGTCGGCTAAAGCGGGGAGGCAGACCTGTCAGGCTCTGGTGCGAGGAGCCCTTCTTTTATAAGAGGCGAGGAATGCAGAGTCAGATCTATAAACACGGGTGCTGCTAACAAGTCTGGGCATTTTCAGGGGCAACGAAGGGCGGACATGAGAGGAGAGAGAGGAAAGTCACCACTAGGGGCGCTGTTTGGAGGGAGATTAGGACAGGGTCCGAACACGGGGACAAGATGAGTGTACAGGTTGTGTATTTCTGTGTTTAGAGTTAAATTGAGGAGTTTCTTTGAGTTCACTTTAAAGGGAAAATGAAGAAAAGATATGAAGAAAGATTTGCCAAATTTATTAGATATACTTTTTGTCTGTCTGTAATATTTGTAGTTACATAATTGTAAAAGCAGACAGGCCGTCCACTTCTGTTGTCCATGGGTGTTCTGAGTCACGGGCTGACATAATCCGATTTATCTCCTCCCTGCTTTTTTTTCCAGACATGGAAATATGTTAAAAACTGTTTTCTGCTTTATATCAGGAAAACTTTTCACTTTGGAACAAACGAGGATACGAAACCTCATCAAAACAACACGAGAACTGCTCACAGTGTCTTTAAACCTTCAAGTTATTAATCTAAGTGTTAATTTTTTCACATTTGTGGAGCTAAATCTAGAAAATTTTTGAAACTTTTTGCACTGTTGTCTACGAAAGAGGATAAGACAAAAAAATAATAATTAAGGGAAGAAGATTAAAGTCAAAATTCCAAGATTAAAGTCGAGAATTTTGAAATTGAGGACGAAATTTCGAGATTGAAGTCAAAATTTTGAGATTAAAAATTTGAGTTATGTCAATAAAGTTGAAATTTAAAGATTAAAGAATGTGAATTATGTCAATAAAGTCAAAATTTCGAGAATAAAAGTTTGAATCTCGAGATTAAAGTTGAAATTTTGAGATCAAAAGTCGAAATTTCGAGATTACAAAATGCCGAAATGTCGTGGATAATGTGGAAATTTAGAGATTGAAAAAAGTAAAATTTTGAGATGAAAGTTGAATTCTAAGATTAAAGTCGACATGAATAAAGTCAAAATTTTGACTTTTTAAATGTCTTTTTTTTTTTTGACTTTAATGTCGAAATGAAAACAAAAAAAATCTCCCTTCTGTAATTATTTTTTTCTCTTCCTCTTTCTTTGTTGTCAAACGGAGAAGTTACTGTCTGATTTTCTGCCAATAAAGTGATTTTTTCAGATGCATGTGAGCGCTTCAGCAGTTTAAAACACCTACATTTAGAAACCCTTAGTACATTTTTAAACAAACAGCTGGTTTTTAAGTATAAAGTTAGTAAAACCGTCTTAAACTTGGAGTCCAGCACAATAATTCATCTGAATTACAGAGGAGCAGAGGAGAAAGTTGCCTGACTTCTAAGTACTCCACATTACAAACGTTTACTCCTGGCAGCAGAGAGCGTGTTGTGTATTTCTGCAGATGTCCTCGGAGAGCGAGTGCGTCTGTCTGAAGGGGAAACCACTGTGTCTCCCTCCTGAGCTGCTTAGAGACCAGCTGTTTCAGAAAAGTCAACAAAGACTGCAAGGACAGGGGGAGGAGGAGGGGGACACCCGCTCCAAACTTCCTGCATTATTGCCCACAAACTGCGTCACAGGATCATTCCCGACACACACAGACACACTGGAGCACACAAAGTGCACACTCACAAGCCCGAGGCAGGATGGGAAATCTGAGCGTTTGATACAAAAAAAAGAGTTGTGAACTAAAGGGTTAAGTGAGCGAAACCTTTGATCGCTCCAGCTCTGCACCCAGGTAACCTTTATTTTGTTAATCTGTCGAGTTTCATGAATGAATCTCTCGGCTGTCCCTCGAGGGTAAATGATTCATTGAGCACCTGTGAGCGGGTTTTTTTCCTCTCGGTGCCTCTCAAAGGGAAAATAATGCAGGCAGTGTGTAGCTTAAAGCAGCATACCATCCCTCTGACTCGGAGTTTACTATGTGTGATGTTTTTTTTCTTTTTATGATTCAGACACGAATACAAAGAGAGCATCTCCTGCTCTCTGCCTTTTATTTGTGGTTTCTGGTGAAAAACGAGATTCAAATTAGATTAAATCTGAAAATACACTAAAGTATAAAGAGACACTAAATAACTAAAAAACAAAAACAAATTCGAACAAAAACATGAAAAACAACTCCTGAGATTGATGAGACGAGTACGACTCGAACACAAAAAGATGACTCACGACGAAAACGGCAGAAAAAACACACAACAAGACGACAAAAGCAAATGTTAAGGCCGATGACAGGTAAGCTTACAGTTTATTCAAGGTGCCCTTTCACAAGCCCCGCCCCCAAATTTTATGGTATGCGTTGCCAGGTGAACCGCTCCAACAACGAACCAACAACAACAGACAGTGTGCTGCCTCAGACTGGGTCATTTAACCTGATAAAATCTGGTGTAACTGACGGATTAAGGTGAGAGTGCGCGCAAAACAAGAAGTCAATTATAATCTGACAGAAGTGAATCAGATTATAATCTCACACTTTCCCCTAATCTGATTTTTTTGGCGCAGCTTCACATTCGTCATGGTCTCAGGTGTTTCTACGAGGTTTTTCCGTCTCTTTAGTAAAATTTCTGTCAGTGAGATTAATGTTTCCAGTCAGGGAATCAAATGAGCACCTGCCATCGGCTGAATACGGGCGAATGTCGGCTGTGGCAGGTTAACATTTGGGGTCAGCCGCCACCAGATTTTTAAATATTTGGTGCAAAATGATGGGTATGTGCAAACTTTACAACGACTTTAACCTCTTTTGAGGTTCTGGGGATGCTGTAATCTGAAGTGAGTGGTTTTAGGGTGACGAGTTAAAGAGAAATTCAGGTGTAAATTTAAGTTATGGTCAAACACACCATAACACTGAGTCAGACACCCCCTCCAGAGATGAATGTTGCCGAGCGCTTGCTTCTCTAGTTATACCAAATTTAGTAACGACCGCAGGATAGCAATACACAGTGGTCTAAGGTGCCATAAACAAACCTCAACCAAAACGCCACTCTATAGCCACAAATAATGCTCAGAACAGCACCTAACTTCATCAACATTTCTTTAGCAAAGAGACTAATCACAACTCACCCCCTCTCTTCCAGCAGCCACTTGTTTGTGGGGGAGCCCTGAAGAGTCGATCACTGAGTGCAGTGGAAAATTTATTATTACTTCATGGAAATGTTAAAGCAGAACTCTGATTTTATTTCCATGAAGTAATGATCATAAATGTTCTTCCTTGAGCTGCGAAACTCTGCTTCACTCGTAGTAGGGCTACCCCGACAAACAAGCAGCTGCTGGAGGAGAGTGGATGAGTTGTGTTTAGTCTCTTTGCTAAAGAAATCAGGCTAAGTTAAAAAGATGTTTGGTGGCTAACCGGCAAGCCAAAACAGGAATAGGGCTAACAACAAAATTAGATCGCAAAACAGTATAATTGAGAGAATTGAGAAGGTGTGTGCTCAAATGGCAGACTTCAAATTCAGATGAAGCCATCAAAACTCAAATTACCAACAATTATATGCTGCTGTTAAATAAGAGAGCACTCTTGATTTATAGCTGTGAACTTGGCAAAGTGTTAAAAACTTGTTACGGTTTGTTAAAAACTCTTATTTTACCCGACAGATATAACAGCAGTGTGCAAACAGAAACCGATTATTAGGAGCGTCTTGAAGATGTACTGCAGAGCATTTTTATTAGACGGACAATGAAGGTTTAATTGTTGAATAATTTCTTTTATGGGTTCCTTATTTTCTGGAAGGGAAAGGTGCTCCCAAAAACGGAACCAAAGTATTCACTCTATTAAAAATGACGATCAATCTCTCACTGCCTCAAATAACCGCCTGTTGTCTGCTGATGAGCTGACAGCGGATCTGAGCTCACACCCTCCGACATGATCCCACAAGAACGCCTTTAAATCACCTGGTAGAAACTCAAAGTGCAGCCAAAGAGCGATAAAACAATTACGTCTTTGTGCCCCCGACAGAAGAGAGTGTGCCAAGTTTAATTTGTAGAAGAAAAAACACGAGAGGATCTGGAGTTTCAGATCGAGAATGACTGTCTGAGCATTATTATTAATGTCCATGTTTGAGTGTCAGAGGGCCTAACCCTGATTTATGTTAAAGTGGTCCAATAATTCATCACAGGCCCTCTACAGTTGTAAAGTTAAAGCTCCTGTAGGGAACTTTGGGTTTTTGTTCAGTCTGGCGCCCCCTGTGGACAAAGCCGTCTTTGCTTATCTTGTGTCTTCTAACTTCCTGTGAAATTCCTATCATAGAGCGATCTTTGATTATCAATAATCGATCAATTATTCAAAAAGAATCTGGATTTTACTGGTTCAAGGATAAAAAAGAAAAATATAAAAAATATATTAATATTATTAGAAATACTCTGATCAACAACTTTGTCTAACTGGGTTAATAATTGATAAAACAGTCTGATATCTGGAGTCAACTCGGGCTGCACCTATTGATTATTTTTTTAATTGATTAATCTCACAATTATTCTTTCGTTGAGTCGACTAATCAATCGACTAATTTGTCTAAGAATATTTTTTATGATCAGATTAATAAAATAATGAATTTAACCAAAAAAGAAAAAGAAAACTCGTCTTAATAGCATTAAATTTAGTTATTAATTTATCTCTTGAAATCAGACAAAATTAACAAGAATTGTGCAACAGTGGATTTAACGCTTTTTAGGCGACCCTCCCATATTTCCATCCAAAGCCAGGACCAGATCGCTCTCTGATTTACAAAATTAAAACACATTTGTTCATAAAGCCTCAAACACCACAAACCTCATCAGACACTCACAGTTTCTCTATCATGAGTCCATCTACTGTGAAGCCAAGACATTTGTATAAATACTGACTCAAACCCGGCTCTGCGTCTGTGCTGAGATTCATAACTGCTTTGTTATTCAAGCAAAGAAAACACTGTGTTTAAAGCGCCGAGTGTTTCTACAGCCTCATGATGGGATGTCTTCAGGGCAGTTTTGGGCTGTTTTTCTTTATTTCTTTGAGCTCGCATTTATAAGCGCGTTCTCCACAGCGGAGTCCAAACATGTGACAGCGTGCAGCGCAATTATGGTTTCCTGTCTGATGAAGGGGAAGCCTTGAGTTCAGAGGTGACAAACTGGGTCAGGAGGAGAAAAAAAGAAGAAGAAGAAGCCAAACTTATGTCTCAACAAGTCGTCAGATTATGAGGAAGTGGAGCGGGCGCTCACTGCAACACGCTGGATAGACGCTTACAAATTACACTGAGAGCAATTACACACCTCGGAAAACACTGCGGTGCGTTTAAGGGGGAAATGAGACTGATCCTAATTCCGCTTTAATTAGATACAAAATAACTCGACAATACAAGCTTTACTCATAAAATCACACCTGGAGGAGAGAGGGCCACAAAAGACAGTAAAATGAGACCAAATGACCACAAAGAGACACAAACAAAACCCACAAAGAGGCTGATTTAAAGCAAAGTGATACTACAACTACACAAACGGACCACAAAGACGATCGGGAGACTGAAGCGGAATAAAACACAACCAGACAAAAACCACAAAGAGATAAAAACAACTTTCAAACTGATGAATAATTACACAATTTAACAACTTCAATACAAAAGCAAAAAAACTACAAAGAGACACAAAGAGACCTGTTAAAATTACACATAAAAGACACAAAATAACAAGTATGACACTTTGAGAAAAACAGAAATGACAGGAATGAGATTAAAACTGTAAAATAGGTTTTTAAAAAATAGAGAGAGCGCCCCCCAAGCAACCACAACAGGGAATAATACAACCACAAAAAAGACAAAAACAACCACACAAAACAACCAAAAAGGGACACAAAATGAGCACAGAGACATAAAAAAGACTGCAAACAAACAAAACAACTATGTTAAGATGAAAATGAACCCAAAACAGGCACAAAACAACAAAAAGAGACACGCAACCGAAAAAACTGGTACAAAATTACCACAAAAAGATACTGAACATGCACAGAAAGACACACAACAACCACAAATAGAAAAAACTACCTAAAAAGGGGCACAAAACAACCGCATGTAGATAAAAAATGAGCACTAAGACATAAAAAAGACTGCAAACACTCAAATTAGCTATATTAAAATGTGAATTAACTCAAAACGGGCACAACAAAAAGAGACATGCAACAGAAAAAACAGGTACCACAGAAAGACACAAAACAACCACAAACAGACAAAAACAACCAAAAGGGACACAAAATGAGCACAAAGACATTAAAAAGACTTCAAGGACACAAAACAACTATTTTAAGCTGTAATTTAACTAAAAAAAGACACAAAACAACAAAAAGAGACACGCAACATAAAAAACGGACACAAAATTACCACAAACAGACACAAAACAACCAAAAAGAGGCACAAAATGAGCAGAAAGACATAAAAAATGACTGCTAACAAACAAAACAACAATATTAAGATGTAAATGAACTCAAAACAGGCAAAAAACAACCAAAAAACGACACGCAACAGAAAAAACTGACACAAAACAACCACAAACAGACACAAAACAACCAAAAATTGATCGTTTCGCATTTATTTGTCCCGCAGAACAAACAGTGACGTTATCTCTTATGTAAAGTGTGTTTCTGTGGAGTCTATGACTCCGCTCCTTAATCCTTCTGTCTTGGTCACATTTCTGTTCATTAAACTCTTTCCAGTCTGAATTTTTTACCCACCAGTAAAAACTAAAATCCCCCTCACTGCAGCAGCTGCAGCCTGTCATCTGCACGGCCAGAAACAAGGGAACAGTCACCATTAAAAATAGACTCAAGTATCATTTGGCCGCCGTTTCTATCGTCCTCTGTTGGGCAATGAAATGTACTGTTCTCCAACTTAATTATTTATGTTGTTTGGCCAAGAGAGCTGGATGAGAGGGGAAAAAAAGAGCACAGGAAGTGTTTCTATGCTAAATAAACTGAGGAACTGTGGCTCGCTGCTCACAGACATGAAGAAATGTGCTGTGAGGATCCACTGCAGTGATGCACATTTTCACACCCAGCAAGTAACGCTGCAAAATCAGAGATCTGTGAACTGCAAACGTCTGTTGACACGTAAATCTGTCAGTTCTCAACATAACACAAAATCCTGCAAGCCAATTGGTGCTCCGTGTGAATATGAGAGGAGTACAGTGCGCCGACTTTTGATGCATTTTTCTCACATTCCTGTTAAAACCTTTTGTTTTCCTTCAGATTCACCTTTCATTAATCCCCCCTTTTATTCGCATTACAGAGGAGAAATTCGTGCCCAGCAAACACGATTTGAATAAATGAATGAATCATGTGCCATATGGGTTACAACAGATGTGACATAAACAGAGCCAGTGATCCGAGATCAAAAACAAACAATGCAGCCACAGACGCCGCTGTGCGTTAACACATGGATACAAAGTCAAACAGGAGCCAGCATTAGTGGGATTACGTCACAGAGGAGGGGAGAAAACACAGACTCCTGACAGGAAACAAGGAGCATGAAGATTAAGGATGACATCTTATTTTATTCATGTAACAATCGCTAAAAACATGGCTGACCACGACATCATGATGAGTTTATCATCCTGCACCGTCATGTCACAGATATCCAGAATAAAATCCATGAATGAATTTGAATTATTTTATCCAAATAAAGCTCAGATGACGTCCTGTGGTTTTCATGCATTTGTTTAGTGCATTCAGGTATGATACTGGATTGTGCAGCAAATACTGAAACTGATGCAAAACAAGTGCATGATCAGCCTGCTGAAGCCTGAAAGCTTCGCTGCAAAACCTCAAATCTCAGCGAGTGTTTTCAAGTAAAAGATTCCAATTAGTCTCAATGCATGTTGTGAATATAGAATCTTATTTATATTCATTTTATATTCATCCTTATTTTAAGACTGTTGTATTCTGAACACTGCTGGTCCTGAGGAAAAATCTTTATCATGCGTTAACATGCACATGATGAATCTGAGCCACCTTCACTAAGGGGGTCCCGATACAATATTGATATCAGATATCGGTCGGATATCAGCAAAAACAAACAAATATCAAATTATATCAGCCTGCATCTAAAATCTCCAATATCAGCACTCCAATACAAGCAGTCCATTCCAGACTCCGCTCCGGCATCTCTATCTAGCAGCGCCCTGATCCAGCAAGCTGAGCCACAAAATCACAACAACAGTCAGTACGTTTACATGACACTCGAGAAAACCGAATTCTTGCCTTACTCCTATGAAGATCGGACAACTGAAGTGCATGTAAACACCTTAATCGGAATTTGAGAACTCAGATTAAGACACCCAGATAATGTGATTGGATTTCAATTTTCTCTACCATGTAACCAGCGTAGTCGGAGTATGACCGGACAATGCATGTACGCGTGCACCACGCCCCTGTAAGCCCGGAACAAAAACACCAGAGAAGAAGTGGCACCATCAAGAACTTTTGCCTCAGAAGCAACAGCAACATGGCTGAAGCATGAAAGAATGTCCACTTTTGCTATGCTTTGGACATTTTAAAGTATATGGATGGTCGCAAAATGAGGGATGGAGACATCTTTAAAAAAGGTCGGAAAACAGCGCCACTGAAATGACCCATATTGCCCCCTACTTCTGGGAAGGAGGACACGTTCACGTCAATAATTCGTTTTTTCTCAGCAGACAAGGAGAGAAGACTGATTCGGCAAAAAAACAAATTTAGGGCTTAGTCAGATTAAGCTGTGCATGTGAACGCACTGAGTGTACAAACAAAGTAGCAAGGAGTAAGAGTGATGTCGGCCCTGTGTCCGGAAAACATGTTGCAGCTGAGTGGAAAACTTGTCATGCACAAGTTTATGCCAATATCGAATCAATATCGGTATTGGTTTATATTGAAGGCTACAATATCAGTATCGTATCAGAAGTCAAAAGGTTGTATCTAGACATTCCTAACCCTAACCTTCACCCAACAAGTCCAGAAAATGAATGTAGCACTTTACAGCATTTAACAAATTACAGAGGAGAGGAAGAACTTCCTTTAACAGGCAGAAACCTGGAGCAGAACCAGACTGATGTTAGACAGTCATCTGCTGAGACTGAGCTGAGTTTAGAGAGGGGAGAGAGGGAGATGCAGAAAGAGGAAGATTGACTCTCTCCATCACCAGTACAGCATGTGACAAAACAACACAGCAGCAGAAAATGTAAACAAACAGCAGCATGATCGACTGCTGACCAACATCTATCAGCTCCAACTTCAACATGAAACGCTCCGATTCAGCCGCTTTGGTTTACTCTGCACAAACAAGGACAGAACATCCAGTGACCAGAAACTGGCAGCATGACTCGCAAAGAAATGACACGAGTGACAGACTAGTGTTTGGGTGGAGAACTGCAGAGTGACAGCGGGGACACTGAAAAGGATGTTGTGCTCACATGAGTGAAGGAGATCACGAGTTTTCACTTTCTTATTTCCACCAAAAGAGGATCCAGGAAGGAAATATTTGAGTTTTCAGATAAACAAACACACCTTCCACCAACAGTCTGAAGTGATATGATTACTTTGCGGTAAGAGGAGACATCTGAGCCGCTCCTCTTTAGACTTCAATCAACACATCCACATACTGAGACGGAGAAGACAAACATGTGCGCGGAGTTCCTTCCTCCGCAGGTGATGTTGACTCACCTTTTAGGTTCTTCGGGTTGTTCTGCTTGGTGCGCGGCATCTTTCCCGCCCTCAGTTCACAGGTGCATCTTGGGGAAATTGGGATTTAGAGTCGACTCCTGAGCCACAGTCTTGGTGCATCTACAGAAAACACACACAGGATGTAGAGTCATGTTTATCATGTGAACGTGAAGTCAAACAGATCGATGGAGGAGCGCTGAGTCCTCTGCTCTGAGTCTCAAACAGGTGCCTCAGCTGGACTCTCCTCTGTTATAATGTGCGGTGCGTCTCGGACTGCTGCCTGCTGTCAGAGGAGCAGAGGAGGTGTGGATATATCCCCCCTGTATCAGTATAACCTCTGCAGCAGCTGCTATCTGCCACTCTGATCTGGAACAAAGCACAGCGAAGTGGAGGATCCTCTGCTTGTCAATGGGAAACGTCTGATTGACACGTCAGGGGCGCCGGCTCTTTACTTTGACGAATGTCAGCGCCGATGACGAACGATGCAAACAATCAGGGTCCTGTGTGCGCCGGGGCAGCTGGGCGGCCACACAGAGGTTACTATCAGAGAGAAATCTCGCTGTTGAACTTGGATCAGTGCAGAAAGTCAGAGCAGAAACATAGAGAAGCCACCTCCACAGGGGGAAATATCTGCACTCTGACTACTTTCGGTGCCCTTTCATACAAGCAGAGATCACAGGCTTAACATGTCTCATGCAAATACTGCCCTGTCTCACCAAAAAAAAGGTGGGCGTTGAAGTTAAATGTTAAACCCACAGAGATGTCTGGTGTGCATAAACAAGTGCAAGAGAAGCTAGGACTGGGGAATTATATGATCTTGATCAATGATTGTGTTAAATTTCAGTTCAGCTGAGAGCATATTTACTCGATCAAACATAGAGGAAGTGTGCGTCACAACAGCCAATCAGAGTCGAGCGTTTCCTGCTCACTTCTGTAAGTTGCCGGAGAAGTAAACAGAATCACCGAACATGGAGCTAAACGCGGAGCTGAGGGCAGTGAGATAGTTGTCAGCCGTGACTTTGAGTCGTCCTCCAAAGATGTTATTGTTGAGAAGTTATTCGACGTCGGTTGTGTGGCGGTGGTTCGGGTATCTCCAAAGTGACCTCGAGTAATTAAGCCGATGTGTAAGGTATGTCGGCAATCGGTGCCCTCAAAAAACCAGCAACACAGCAAATCTGTTTAATCATTTGGAGAAGTACTTCCCGAGTGGTGATGCGGAAAGCGTGAAAATGTGAGCGGAGTCTGACGACACAAGTAGCATTAGCAGTTTAGCCACAACTAGCGGTGCAGCCACCAGACCTAGACAGCGATTAATCATATCATTTACGTTTACATCATCTAATGTTTACATTTGAAGGCGTCTTCATTATCTCTGAGGGGGTTTGTTTATTTTGGGTCTTGCATACCTGCAGAAACACTCAGGACTGTAAACTAGTTCACTGTATTATTTAGTATTTTCCTACATTTATTGTGCTATTGAGTTAAAATGTTTTTTAAATATTTTTCTCAGTGTGTCTAATTCAATTTTCTTTATTCACTTTGTATGTTAATAAAATCTTGAACTAATCTCTAGTTTCCTTAGTTTTTAGTACAGTTAAAACAGGCAGTTTTAAAAAATCGTGATAATAATCAAGATCGGACGATATGATAAAATATATTGTGATCTTTTTTTTTTATATAGAGAAGCTCACAATCACAAAACATGAATTAACATCAACTTATTTTTCGTCTCTCTAGCTTTTGCACCATCCCGATGATGTTCCAGAGAGATGCACAGAGCAGAGAGCAGCAGGAAGCAGCCTTTGTTTCCCCTCCTCACCAATATTACATAACACTTACTACAACTGGATGATGTTTTTTTTCCCCTCCATACAGTTGGGACATGTGGCGCTGGAGCAATGACATCATCCCACGGTGCATTTTTTAGTGTAGATGCACCGGGTCGCATGAGACAAAATGCACATACACACGAGAAAAAAAGCAGAGATGCACGCCTCACCTGGCTCTCTCAGTGATGCACAATCTGGTTCGGGTGCAGGTTCGACTGCGCAGGAAAGAAGGAAGAGGAGGAGGAGGAGAGAGACGTGCACATTTCCTCTGGCGTGTTTTTGTCAGTCCGTCTGCAATTCCTGTCTGCTCGGAAACACCCCGATATACACTGGCCCACACACACGCACCACCATTAGATCCGAGCCAAACATGCGCCGTAACGCTCTGCGCTAACCCTGACAGGCTGCAGGTGACTAATGAGGAACGGTTCCGATCACACCTGAGGATCTACGAGAGGTATTATGTAAAAGCGAGGCATCAGCGGCGCATTGTTCACGCAAAATCACGCACTGGCGACGTCTGAGAGTGTGTGATGGAGCTAATTGATGAGTGAAATATCAGGAATTGTGGATAAAGAGTGATGCTCTGTGTGGATTTGACTGGGATGATCTTGCAGGAGAAAACAGATAATTTGGGATTTCACTCCGTGCGGTGAAGTCAGCAAAAACACTGCGTGGGAATAGCGCATTTTTTTAAGCCTGTTGCAACACGTGAACGCCCTGTGAGAGAGGGAGGAGCCAGGGAAAACCCCTCACTGTCTCTGCAACAACCGGAGAGACACTTCCCCTCATCCAACACACACATGCACATGAATCCCCAAACACAAGCCATGACAGTGAACACATGAACACAATAACATGTTGTTGCTTACCTGTGGTGCACAAAAATATCAAGCAACAAAGAGCGAGGCGCAAAAAGCTGCTGCACCGGAGGGGGGCTCAAGTTGTCTCCACTGGGTTTGCTGCAGGAGTCCACGCGGGAAAACTGCGGCAAAAAATGCGCCTGTGAGGGGTAAAAACACACAGGCGTAAAAGTTCACGGCGGGCTAAGCCGGAGAGAAACACAAGGCGGGCAGTGTTGAAAGCATGTCCGACCCTCCTCTCAGGGAACAGCCACCGACACCGACCTATATCACAGTGACAGAAACCCCGCCACGGCTCCGCTTGTAGAAAAAAATGCGCAGGAAAACAAAGCAAACGCACCCCTGGTTTTGATTTATGAAAACTCACAGGTGCGGGGTTGTAACGCACCTTTTTAGTGTAAAGAGGAGGGGGGTACAGCTCTGTGTTTTCTCCCTTCACCTTCTCTCTCACTTTCTATTGCAGGAAACAGACAGGCCCACTGACGTCAACGGGGGTCCCGTCTCCGCCTCCCAGCCATCGGGTGTCTTCTCCGGGCAGGAGGAGGAGGCTTTCGACGGACGACATTCGCGTCAACCCCTCACTTTAGACTCCTCCACCAAACTATCTCCTCAAATCCTCCTTGTCTTCGTTAAATCACTCACCCTCTCTCTTTTTGTCGAGGTTATACTGTATTTAGATTCCCCTTTTTAACGATAATAGAGAAAAAGACAGCTCCGTCGTTTGTCGTGTTCCCCCTCGCGTCCCCCCACCCTCCCTCTCCACTGCACATAGTTTAGGACTGACGGTTTTCCCGGAGGTTCCTTGTTGTCAGGTCACGTTGTGGCCCTCCACCACTACCGATCGGGCTTTCCCTGCACAAAGCCGCAGCAGGGACACAATAGTGGGTCTCTCTGCACCAGGACCGGTGCCTGTGGGATGAAGAGAGAGAGTAAGTAAAAAAAAAAAAAAAACAATAGTTGAACTCTGGCCTAGTATGGCGCCAAACAACAACTCAAATTTGTGCAACCAATGGAGGAAGGCCTAGCTAGGAGGAGGAACTGTTGATATGCTGTACAAGTAAAAAAATTAGCATTCAAAAATGGACTTTGGAATAAATAAGTGAGCTCTTGTATCAAGAGTGATATATGTATGGCCTTCAAAAGCAAAACAAGACCACTAGCAACAAGATTGACTATTTTATTGTTGTAATGTTACCAATTTGAGGGGTAAACAGCCAAGAATTATGCTGCGTTCCAGTTGTCCTCGGAGGTCAGGATTTCCGAGCTCCGAGTTAGAAATTCATCTGGAAGTCAGATTTCCAACTCAGTGAGTTGGACTATCATCACCAACTCCAACTTGGCGACAACGTCATAATCCAAGATGGCAGCACAGTGCATCAACAGTAAAACGTAACGGTGAAAGCTCTCGTAATGTGTTATTTATTAGCACTTCTGTGAAATTAAATAAGTCGTATCTAACTGTAAAATACTGGTTTAGCTAACAACAGCTAATAACGGTTAACAACAACTAACGATGGCCAACGACAGCTGACAATTTAAAAACAACAGCTAACAACGGGTAACAGTCAGCATCCATTTAAGTTTTCCAACTTGTTAACTGTAACGCCGTCAACTCGGGTATAGCGTCATTCCTAGCTCCGACGTCCAAGGTAACTTGAAGGCAACATTAGCCATGTTTTTACATTTTCTGCACAAGACAGTCAAAATAAATTAAACACTAGGATGACACTATAAGGCATGTAAAAGACCAGATAAACAAAGACTGCTTAAACTGACACCTAAAATTCCTTAGGGGAGCTTTAATTTTCGAGCTGCAATAATAATACGACTGGCACTGAGTTTCATAAACTGCCTTCACCTATCGTGGCGCTTCTCTATTTCTGGTTGATTATAAGACTGAAACACTTGCTTGCTCACCCCTACTGTCAGTGAAGCTATGGTGGCCTTTGGGGGACAAGAAGCACCTGTGATGCATGATGAATATGATCCGCCATTTTTGAAGTTTTTACCATGAAAAACTTTGGTTATCATAGGTTTTTCTGTGCAAAACTTTAGTTTTCTTTCCGTTTCTATTCATCAAATACTGAAACATGTTTGTTGCTGGTTTTGGTTTAATGCTAGAAACATGGTGGTGCAAGATGCCGGGTCCCACTCCTAATAAGGATATAAACAACTTATTCTGAGAAACAAAAACAACATAATCAGACAATTTTACTCTAATTTTTGCATAATAATGAATGTTAAAGTCCATTTCTTCCAAGTCTGTTTCTGTTTTGGTTGCTGAAAGTGTCACACACACTCTTCGTTACATGATCTGTCCTCGACCCAGTTAGCAAAGCAGGTTTGTTTACATTCTGTCTCCCTGTCAGTCACACTGATCACGGCCTGCACCTGCAGAGGCTAAAGGAGGTCAGAGGAGGTTAAAAGAAACTGCTGCCAAAGATTTTTTTAAAAAGCCACAGACATTTTTTTTCCCTGGGCTCTTGACCTTGTTTTAAAATTACTTTACATATGGATTCACTCACTTTTTGGACATTGATTTAAGAAAAAAAAAACACAGATTATGACTCCAAATCGATCTAAATTGCTCATGCACATATTTTCAAACAGAGCAGGTGAAGTTTAAAACGACCTTTTGTGATTCCACGCTCACTTTTGCACTCGTGTTTCCCCTGCTTTACTCATATTTTCCACAGTGTCAACAAAACCCTCCTCATCTTTGCAAGAAAGCACCGCAGCATGAAGGGAAAATATATTTCTTGCAACTTTTCTTCCCACAATGACTTGAACGATTTCCCCCAAACTGTTTTTGCAGCATTGTAGGCACGGGAATCAAAGGTCTGTGAAATAAGTCGTTTTTGCTTTGAAATAAGTGGACCACAGTTCATATTTTCCAGGTTCAGTATCCTCGGGTTGCCTGGTGCACTGCTGCATCTATACTTAATAAATAGTGGTGTTATTCTTAGCTGTGTTCAAAACTGTGGCCACCTATGTGTTCCAGCTATGACACATCCCTGTATGAGAAAGGTCATGCTATTTTTGCCTCGCAGCCTGAAATAGCTCTCAGTTAAATGGGTGAAATTGATTTTTTTTTCCCACTGCAGCAAGTTGCTTGTGAGGAGATGAAAGAATGTTAATGGCAGTACAGTTTGCGCACAGTTTTTAGGTGTTTAACAGATTTAAAAGGATTTTTAGTTGACCTAAATAGCCGAACTTAACTGCAGTTTGAACAGTTTCTCAGTTTGTCACACGAAGTCGCGACAGTTTCTGCAAAAACTGTCTCGGAGAAGCACAGTGTCATCTGCAGAAACTTAACTGCAGCGAGGCAAATCTACGCCATTAATAAGTGATTGTGTGACAGCCGCCCACCTTCATATCACAGGCTTCCTGCAGACTGCAGAGTGGGACTCCTGGCTCAGCCGAGCTTTATGACTCACCTGTTTCAACTGCAACGATTTAAAATGGCACATTTGAATAGTGGAACATTTTTTTTTTCTTCTTTTTTTGCAAGAACAGAAGCAAAGAGTTATCTTCTCAACCAGCAATGTGAGCATTTATGCAGCGTTTTCACCGTGTGGGGGGTTTATTCAGTATGAATGGTAGAATCAGTGAAGGGCTGTTGTTTAAACACGCCTGTTCAGAGTTTGAGGCTTTTATTTTTTTTGACAATTAACATCGACTGAAATGTTCAAATGTTATGATGGAGGTGTCTTATTTCTCCGAGCATGGCTTTTGTTTGTTCTTGAATTCACTGCTGTCTGTACTCCCACGTATCAAAACCGAGATGTTTTTGGTTTTCGGCGCAGGATGAAAAACCGCCAAGGAGGAGAGAGGAAGTGTGTGTTTTTGTGTTGTGAAAACCTTTTTACATAACCACATTTTTCCTGAGGAGACAGCTTGTTTGGTTTTGAGCTGATGCGATGCCAAGAGTACAACAATTGTTTAGTAATTAATAAACCCTCTGCTGTCATTTGCAGCCAAAGAAAACGTGAGCCAGTAAGATCAGTGATTTTCCTGGATGGAGCTGGTTTAGATTTATTTGTGTTTTTATGGTCCTGCAGAACGCAACATTGCACGAGAAGCATCACTAGATCACGCCGTCGATGCAGTTTAATGTGACAACAGGAAAAGATTCATCGGTTTGAGTTTTTAAGCTCAAATCTTATTATATCATAAAAAAGCTAAAAACAGCTTTTTCAGTAGAGATGTGAATGTGATATATGCATACACACTTCGCTATCCTGCAACACTCCAATGCAATGTGAGATCACACACTGTTGCTTAGATATTATTGCATTTAAAGGTGCAATGACAAGTACGAGTACAAAGGCGTAGTGAAAGTAGAATTTGTTGCAGGGTTACAATGTGAAAGAGGCTCAAGATATGAACCAGAGTAAAGCGACAGACCCTCTGGATCCCAGTAAACAGTTTGGAAAAAACCCCTGTAAACATGTTGGCGAGCATCAGCCTGCAAGATATTTTTGGGTTGTTTTTGACAGGAGGTAACGCGGGTCTGTCTGAATATGTGACGTTACGTTTTCAGCAGGAGCAAGAGTGTTACTCGAATATATTAACACTGATGAACAGGATTAGACAAGCCGACATGCAAAATGCAAAAGCAGATAAAAAATATTACATATATAGAAGTAAATTACATGTATTAGTTAAGTTTATGAAGTTGTATGTTGCTCCTCTCCAAGTTTGACTCATTGTGCTGTTTTTGATAATGTGACATCTCTATGACTACCTTGTGCTGATATTTGCCTCAATGCGGCCCTACACAGAATTTGATTTTGGGGCCCTCTATTTCTGCCAATAATATTGATTGTTGAGCAGAAGTGTTTCTTGTCAAACGGGACCTGCTGCGTGTTGAAGCTCTGCTAAACTGTTGACCCCGGGTCCTGGACTATGTCACTTTATCCTAGTTGTAGAAGTCCTGCAAACATTGTGTTTGCTGGTAGTCTGTTGGCGTCTACAGTAGCACCAATGCTTTTTATTGAGTCGTTGACTGGGCCCCATTTGTAACTATCTGAAGTATTGATCTGTGTTATATCTGAATTTAATTGAAACGATTTGAGCGAGCAGGTGTGTCTATTTGTGGGCGGGGCTTGCTGAAGCAGAGAGGGAGGGGAGAGGAGGAGCTGAGGGGAAAACTGGTTGGGAGGGGTAGAGTTTACATTCAAGATGTCTCCCGAAAACTAGCACTTCCTCTGATCCTGCCTACCCCACCGTTAAGGAGGAGCCCTGTTGAGTTGGTGTCTTCATTACTCAGTACAGAGAGATGTCAATCATCTGTCTAAAATGAGATGATTAAGTATGTTAAGTGTTTCAGGCCTAAAAGTCCTGCAGTCAAAGCTCAGACAACCTCTGTCTGGATTTCTTAGTGTTTCCATGTCGCTTTGATTTCAGTTGGCGTAGCGGTGTAATCACACTCATATTGAAGACGGGGATTTCCTCACTGCCCCCTCAGCGGTGTTGGTGAATGGTAAAGAGGCTATTAATAACCTGGGGTAGTTAGAGAAAATAAGCACAGCTGCCCGGCAGCACTGTCCTCCTGAACAATGACCTCTTCTCATGTGAGGGGACGTCTCTGCTCTGTGTGTCCTTCACAAACCGATGTTCATGGGGGGGTTCTGCTGCTGTTTTTCTATCTTTGAACCCTCTTTGTATCAAAAATAGATATTTACTCAACACGACCTTGCAAAGAAAGACAGTATTCATAAGGGATTGGTGGAGTGTCCTATTTCTCTTGGCTCACAGTGGAGGGTTGAGGATGGAGATTGATGTCGCTGAAGTGTTTATAGGGTGGTGTCCTTTCATCCCTTTGCTTTTTTCTCTCCGTACACTTCCTATTTCTCCAAATAAGCGAGGAACTGACCATGAACACCCTATATAAATACAGGACAATGGATCTGGCACCCAAGGTGTCCTGTGGAGATAAGCTGGGCCTTATACACATATCACAGGGAGCAGATTTCCATTTAAACACCATAACAGGATCAGGAAGCAGAGCGCAAACAGTTGCCTGCCTCCCTAACAACAAACTATAACTCAGGAGCTTCAATTAGAGGTAGCATTCACGGCTGTAAAGGTGAGTTATGAGGCTGTAATGTCTCCTGTTGTCAGAGTGATTCGTATCCATAAATAAATCATCAATATAGGCTGTTTTTGATTGAATCAATCTAACATGTCGTTACGGAGTTTTATTTTTAAAGGCTTTTAAAATGTCTGTTTCCGAGGCGAGATTTTTACACACTGCTGGGTGCTTTGTTTACACGCACCATATGATGTTACATAACTGAGGCTGTTTCCGTGGCAACGAGAAGACTCCACCCTCCCCACCACCACCTCACAACCCTTTGAAACTCACGTATAAACACATTAACACACACACACTCTTTTCAAGCATCACATCACTTCACTGCAGCCGCATGACTTGACTGGATGATTTAACGCTCCAGGATCGTCTTCATTAACAAGATGGCCTCTCTCAAGTGGCTGCTTTGTGTTTCCTGCGAGGTATTTCTTATATTTACAGTCACCGGGGGGGAACGTTTCCACTATGATGGTCCACAAAGTAAGCATTCAGGTTTTACTGCCTCCACTAATCAATCCTGTGATTTACGTCTGCCTATCAAAGCTTTATTCAGCATAAATACTCAGGTACCATGTACACCTTGTCAGAGGCTGAATGACAGAGTGAGTCAGGTTTCATCACTTTGTGTGAGCAATCAGCTCAGCGCGTCGATTTCAAGGTCAGGGAGGCTCCAAGCACAATAACAACACCCGGCATCCCCGCATGAGAGCTGTCTCTTTGTGTTGAAGGGTGCCGCGATGAGTGCACTCTCAGCTCTCCACGCCGTCTCAAAGCACCATTCACACGCCATCTGACAGTCCATCGAACCAGCCGCTGGCCCAGGAGGCAAAAATAGAAGCTCCAGGCCTTCCCTGCTGCTTTATCTGTCAGCAAATTGATCAATTAAAAAAAGCCTTTTTCCTTCCCGGAGGGCTATTTTCACCATCCAGTGATCCAAGAAAACTGAAGACCATCTGCTTCATCTTCATCGTACATATTTGACAACACTGATGGAGAAGGTTTTTATAAGACCAGAGATGATACAGAAAACGAAACAGGCACAAAACAACACCGGGGTATGATTGGGATGGATGGATGGATGAAAGGATAGATGGATGGATGGATGGATGGATGGATGGATGGATAGATACAGAGTACCTAGATGGATGGATGGATGGATGGATGGATGGATGGATGGATGGATGGATGGATGGATAGAGAAAACATAGATGGATGGATGGATGGATGGATGGATGGATGGATGGATGGATGGATGGATGATTGTTTGATGGATGAATAGATGGATGAAGAAAGAGTACTTGGACCAATGCAAGGATGGATGGATGGATGATGGATAAAGAAAGAATACCTAGATGGATGGATGTATCGATCAATTGATGGATGGATGGATGGATGGATGGATAGATGGATGGATGGATGGATGGATGGATGGATGGATAAAAGAGAATATGTTGTCCAATGGATAGATGGATGGATAGATGGATGGATGGATGGATTGTTCAACAAATGAAGGGATGGATGGATGGATGGAGAAAGAGTACCTAAATGGATGGATGGATGGATCGATCAATTGATGGATGGATGGATGGATGAATGAAGAAAGAGTACCTAGATGGATGGATGGATGGATGAAGACAGAGCTGGATGGATCGATCGATCAATTGATGGATGGATGAAGAAAGAGCACAAGGAAGGATGGATGGATAAATGAATACATAGATGAACTAAGATATATAGATAGATAGATAGATAGATAGATAGATAGATAGATAGATAGATAGATAGATAGATATATAGATAGATAGATAGATTTCACAGCATAGATGACAGACGGATAAATTGATGGATAAATAATTAAATTGGTTGATAGAAGTATAGATATGTGATCTGATTGTTGATGTTTGTTTGATGGCGGCTAAGGGGGTAAAAGTCTCATCTGGGGACGGATGGATGGATTTTTTAATTATTGCTCTGGGACGACTTAATCCCTCTTCAATCAGACCCTTTAGTGTTGAAGTGGTGTGAGTGTGTAACAGGGTTCAGTCTGGATCTGAATATCTCGCTGCTAAAACAAGATCCTCACAGACATTCATGTAATCACACCATGAACCTTTGAGGGGTATTCCAGCATGTCACGATCTTTAACAGTCTCAAAACATGCAGCCGGGCACGGATCCAGAGACGCTTTACCATGAGAGAAAAAAAAAAAGCAGTGAAGGGCAGTGTGTAGTTTGTGTGTAGTTTGTGTGTGTGGCTTGCTTGTGAGCAGAAATAATTGTCGGTCCCTCGAGGAAGAACATTTGACAGTACTCCCATGTCATCCATCATGTCTGCGCTGAGGTGTGCGGCGAATACACGATAGCGAGGCGGAGACATTGATCTGACTTTGATTCACCTCTAGATAAACACGGCTGAGCGAGATAACACAAACTGAGAATGAAGACCGTTAAACTTCGATCTTTTCCGGGTAAATCCTCCTTTAAAAGTTCGGCGCTGAGATACTTTAAGGCTAACTCGAAGCAGGGTACAGTATATGTGGATTTAACGTTTAATCAGTGGAGCAGAAGTGGAAAGATGTAGTTAAGTGAAAAGATTTTACGCCCTGCTGTAATCCCTGGTGGAAAAATCACTTTGCCTAATGCCAGCTTTATGCACAGCACTTCTCGGAAACAGCACAGTTGAGGTAAACCTGGTTTCGGTGCCCTCCTTCTGTCCCAGTGGCTCCATCCAGCTCTCCATGCCCTGCAAAATGAGCTTTTAGGAAAAATAAATTCCACTTCTTTCACCGTTCCCATGTGACCCACATAATGTCCAAGGAAAAAGGTTTTAAAGCCACTCTTTAAAGCACGGCCAACATCCTTCTTCTTTGCTGGGATTTAGTCGCCCTTCTTTGAGTCCTTGCCAAGAAACCTTGTGCCAGTGCCTCTAATACAGTCCACTCCTGCAGAGTTTCCATCCAGCTGCATGTAGACCCGGGTAAAGCACCTCGCTGAAGCTGTGACGACATCTCCACAGCGCTGATGAGTAGGATGTGGGCTGAGAGAGGCCAGACTTAAATCCTGGACCCTGCAGAAGCCGAGTGTTTTTGGGAAAAGCCGGTGTTGTGTCAACATTTCCAATGAAGCTGCCGCGGAGGGGAAAAATCCCTGCTGTTGGGGAGGCCAGGCTGTGCTAATAAGGGGAAAATGCTCTGAGTGTCTACTTATATAAGAGTAAATTTAACATTTTGAGAGAAAAGAGATGACAGAAATCAAATGATTCCACTTCAGGGTGGAGCTGAAGAGAAGTAGTGAGGAAAGCAGCTGCAGCGAGTGAGCGGGTGTCCTGAGAGAAGTGCTTTAAAAAGGACTTTTAAACCATGAAGCTGGAAAACTACATCATCAGAAAAACAACGTGAGCTTTGTTTAAATCTCTAAAATAAGAAACATCAGGTTAGATTCAAGAACTAAAACTATTCAGCAAAAGTTTAGACCGGTATAGATCACAGATTTAAAATACAGTCTTCATGTTTAAAAATTGACTTTAAACTTCTTCTTTATTGATGCAGCCGATTAGGGCTGGGCAATACAGCCTCAAGTCAATATCATCAAATATCGAGCAGTTCATCTAAATGACAATAAATGGACGATAACTACTCCACAAGCTGCTCACCCCCTCCCACATTTACTTTGTCTACTTCAGCCACAGCTTCAGACGCTACAACTTTTGTTCCTTCCTCCATCTCCTCGCCTGAGGTTGTGTTGTGTCGTTCGTGAACGATTCCTTCAAAAGAACCAAATCTTTTAAGTAAATCTGCTGAATGGAATCACTTCCTCAAGTGATTCGTTCATTTTTCACTTCAGTTGAGATGAAGTGAGAAAAAGCATTGCCAGGCCAGCAGCCAGCTAACAAGGGACCACATGAACCAAAGCCTCAATTACTTGGTGAACGAATCACGCATTGAACTACACTCTGGAATAATTTTTGTCGGACAAAACTGACTTTATTTTACTGCTAAATTGTCACCACAACAACTTGCACACAACAGGACACAGCATGTAACAAGTGGTGCATTAAACCCGCAGGATCCTATCATTGCAGCATTTTGCGAGGGAAAGGTGAATGTTCAGTGTGAATTCTTCTAAACGTTTAGTGAACGAATCACTCACTGAGCCCAATTTACCAAGCAGACCTGATAAAAAGCATACAATAGGACAGTACACTTAAAACATCATGACTTATAAACAAATTCATTTTTACAATCCTGTTTGCCAAAGCAACACAGACAAACACTCTCGTCTCCTGGCCCCAGATGCTTTGAATTGAACTGAATCCTGAACTGTTCAGCCGTGAATCAGTTCAGGAGGTCGGAGTCGCAGACTTCTCCCACTAAATGATTCTGTGATTTGGTGAACAAATCTTTTGAACGAATCTTTTAAGTGAACAGATTCTAGTGAATCAGTACATCTAAAAGCACGCATAGCCTACCTACACACATCCAAAACCAGCTTTTATTTATTTTTTTGACACCAAATATTGACATCGGCAAAATGACGTTAATTATTGTTGTAAATTTTGGTATCGGTAAATTTTCGGTCTGTCGCCCACCCCTACAGCCCATTTAGATTTAGTGTCATTTAGTAAGGATGAACTCCAACAATAGTTGGTCTAACTGTTTTCTGGTCAAGACTTTTCTAACATGCACAGATTGTGATGTTTCAACTTCCAGGAAAAGTGAAAAATTTCTAAGAACTGTCTCTGGATCAAATGTAAAAATGTCTGCGCGATTTTGAGGCTGTCTTTGTCTGAATTTACCGTTCACTGAGATATTTTCTCACACCAGTTATTTCCTCAGTTAAATGAAGATCTTTGTGGTCGATTTGCTCTTTCCACTTGTTTGCACTCTGAGTGACTGGAAACATTCGCAGGAAGAAGAAGCTGAGGGAAAAAAAAAAAAAACTTTGGGAAAAAGTCATGTCAGCTGTACTGTTGCTACTTTTAGGCCCTTCACTGGAAAAGAAGGAGGAAAGGAAACAAAGAAACTCACAGGGGTACTTTGGAAAAATGCTGCTTTAGTCGTCGAGGAGAGGAGGAGTCGAGCGAAACTCCCCTGGTGCTTCATACATCAGCTGATTTATGGGTAACACACGGCGTTTAATAGCCCTCTGTGGGCCTCTGGTAGTACGACGCCTATAGCTTAGAGCAAAGAGACCCTGAGGTCAGTGCGCTGTTGAAACCTCAAGTATTCAATATAGTGACCTGTTTGAGTTTTATCATTTCTGCCTCAAAATAAAAGCTCCAGAGAAATCCAGTTTCACAGACTCTTATTTCTAAGGTTAGAGAGGAATTAGGAGTGAAGGAAAGAAGTTTCTTAACTTTGGGATTGTTTTTGTGTCGTGTTTGAGACCCCAGGGTAAAAGGGAAAAAACACATTCATTAGCTATTCATGGGCGGTCATTTATAAAACCTAAACTTACATAAGTACAATATGATAATGAAGTTTACAGTAACACACCTCATTTAAGATCAATGTTTTCTTTCATGACGTCTATGGTTTGACATTTCTGATATCCGCTTTGATGCAGAAAGTCAATAAATATCAGAAAACTTCTGTCTTAATCTGGATTTCTGTTTCCCTAAAGGAAGATTTGAATCTGGTCAAGCTCTCTAACGACTTTATGCTTGCAGCTGACTCTGGTTTGTACTCAACGCCAATTCTCCTTGACCACCATGTTTTACACTACATTTACACGTGCCCGGCTATTTTCATAAACAGACATTTCATCCTCCCTGTTTACAAAATAAACTGCGTGCTCACCATAATAAAGTTTTTTCAAAGTTCTCCCACCAGACAGCAGCGCGCCCAGGTTGGACACAAAACTGGCGAGGCTGGCGGCAACAGACGCACTCTTCATGTGGAAGGGAGAAGTTGCTGCAACATTGCTGACCTTTGAGCACTCGACCGTCTCTTCTCCTCCACATAGTACAGCACTTGTATTTGCCAATGCAAACAAATACAAAGGGACTGAACCAGCATGAATGGGACTGCTATTCTGCAAGCATCCATGATCACCGTAGACTGTAAACATGGACTGTAGATTGTAAACAACATCGCATTTAACAAAGTTTCCAGCACACAATCTGCCGTCGGCCATTCAAATCTCTGTTTTTTCTCTGTTTACATGTAAACAGAGTTTTCCAAAATCTCCACTCTGGCCGGAGTTTTTAAAAAGCATCGTTTTTTTTCTTCGTTTGCATCTAAACGAAACATGCAAATAATGGTTATTGTCTCTGATTTTTAAAACAACCGGGTACATATAAATGGCGCCTTAATCAGCCGTCTAAAATACCTGGTACGATTTAGTAATGTGGCACTTGACTGGTTCCTGCCTCCTCCTCTTGTTCTCTCATATGGGGTCGCCCAGGGGTCTATCCTGGGTCCCCTTTTACTCACTGTATGCTTCTTCTCCCTGGGTCAAATCTTGCATTGGTATTGTATAAACTTTTATGACACTCAGCTCTGTGCCACAGAGAAATAAAGAGCTGTACTTCATGGTGACCATGAATCCCCAAAAAGAGGACACGACTACGAGGGGCGGAGTCACAGAGTTGCATGAAGTTAATACGAGAGATTTTGGGTTGGATCGAGTGTCTTTTACGTGCTTCTAACTCAGTAAGTTCATGTGACACAAACTCAAAACCCTGGACATTTGGAGGATTTTATAAACTTCCCGGGACAAAGCCGGACAGCCCCCAAAAAAGAGGACATGTCTGGGTAAAAGAGGACATATGGTCACCCTACATGAGTGAACAGTTTCTGCAGCCAAATGAGCCCAAATCTGAAGTTATTGTCATCGCTCATCTGACCCTCAGCTCAAGCTTCATATGACCTTTCATTGACACATTGAGTTATGAGTTCGGACAGCTGTCAGGTCTTTTCTCTCTCCTCTCGACTCGACCACTGTGATCCGCTTTACTCTGGTATTATTGAGTGCAACATACAAAGACTCCAATCGACTCAAAATGCTGCTTCCAGACTTCTAACTCTTAAAGAAATGACCGTATAACATCAGTCCTTGCTGCCCCTTCACTGGCTCCCTGAGAGGAGTGTAAAGTCTTCAATAATACTACACCTGAAACACATGTTTGAACCTCTGGGATTAGATTCATATAATTTTCTGAGGGTTAAGGAAGAAAATTGCAGTTCTTGAGTATAAATCTGCCATTCTCCTTCAGTTTTTAGTGAGATAAATCACTCCGTGGATTAAAAACACTGTTTTTACGTTGATTTAGTGCATAAACTGAAATCAGAATCACCGTCAGGGCTTTCCCAAAATCTTTACTGCTCTCCTGACACTGATGTTGGCAGCAGCTCAAGCGTCCATGTGTTTTCTTTTCCACTGTGATAGACAAGTAAGAAGAAGGAACAGACAGCACAGCGGAGGGCCTCGGCGCTGCTGTGTTTTCTTCAGCTCTCTTGCGCCCCTTGAGGACAAAACTGGGACATGCTCAGGAAACCTCTCTGTGAACATATCTGAGG